GAAGAATTTAAATTAAATTTAGTAAAAAGATACATTATTACATCGAGTAATACAAAGGTTGTTTGTGCACCTACAGAAGTATCCGAGCGAAGCTAGGGTAAATTACTAAGCTTAATTTCCTTAAAAGTTATGTAAATGTGAGTATAAGGGAAAAATATATATACAGAAAAACAGATATAAAAATAAGTAATTAAAGTAACTATTGATACAATACAAGTTTAAATTTTGTGTTTATGTCTCAATGCAACAAAGAACTGTAACCGCTGGCACTATTCCACTAATACGATTTCTATTACGAGCTGCAGACGACAGACCCGCGGTTCAGAACATATGTACTAGACTACGATAAATACTTGTGGAAATTTAATGTTGATTATCTAGTTAGAACGTAGAAAAGTAATGCTAAATTATTTAAAAAAATATCTCAATCAGAAGAAATAAGATATAATTCAAAGTGAAGTATTACTTGTAAAATATATAAGGACGCAATTAAAAATAGATGAAACAGGGTTGTGGAAAATGCATTTTAAAAATTATTTTGTTGCATCTTATTAACGTGATCTCCGCGAGATCGGAGTGTTGCTAGAGTACTTAAATTTTCAGAGAGGTTTTAAGTGCTTAGTTTAAAGTAATTATAAAGACACGCCTTGCTCGCCGAGATTTACTATAATAAATGGAATGTCTGTCTGAAATGAAAACATAGAGTCAGGTACTGATATTTTTTATAAGAATATATATATATATATATATATATATATAAGTAGGTACTACTATTAAATAAGCTTTGCAATTGAGCTGGATGGTTTTACATATTAGTCATCATATTTAACAAAATTTAATTTAATAGGGTAATTATTTTTTTACTTTTTATTTTCAAAACAAGATTTACGGAGACATCTTGAAAGTAGTTTGTTTAGTGCAAATCACCGGTACTCTACGTTTCTACATCGTTGTTTGTCGAGTATCTCATTTAAATATGCTTTCTAGTATTTTATAAACATGAACCCGCGTGAGAGTCGAGAGCTTCTGTTGAAGCTAAATTAGCTAAGTGCTTAGAGTACTTGAAAGTGTTTATACGGAGGCGTAGCTGTCTGAGGGCTGACATAATGCAATATATCTGCTCAGACGAGCGTGCGGTGGCAGTGGCGGTCTGTGGCCAATGCACTACTCGAGACGCCTTGTAATCTCGTTTTACAACATACTTTCAGATTCAATAAGCATTTTAAAATTATTCATCAACAGCTTTAGGTAGGTTTAAAGAGCTTTAAGATTGAGCTTTAAGTAGTTTTTTTCTATTTAGAAATAAACGAATATGGATTTAAGAAGGTGCACAGATACATTCACTATACTTTCCAAGTATCTATTTCCGATATTAATATTAGACGAAAAAGTATTAATATAAATTATATATAGCTTACGTTTAATGAAAACGCAAGAATCTCATGCATTAGCATTTTTTCTATTCGGATTAAATATTTTTTATCACAATTATTTTAGGTATAAAATTGAATTTACAGATGTTAAGGAGCAAATATATATGATATTAACTATTAATTCAATAACAAATATCGATATATAAATACATTGAAAACAAAGCTGCAAACTCTTTCTTATCTTTTCTTAGACATAAAAATACATTTAAAATGTTAGTACTAAAATATTTTAATGTGCGGCAGAATATTAGTCACGTATGGACATCGATTTAGATATCAGGCATTGATAAATTCGCAACACTTTATTCATTTTCAAGATCGTGATATATTGCCTTCAGCATAAAAAGAATCGGTATACGTATTTATAAGGAAGGCAGTGGCAGCAAGCAAGTACGAATAGGCGGTATCATAATAAGTTGCGAACAAGGCCCGAGCCAAAGCGCCTAGAACTTAGCTCGACAATAAAGTTGAAAAATCGGGGGGATTGTGCTGCGGGCGTCGCCAAGAAAAAACGACGCCAACATTTCGCACTTAATGAAACTGTAGCTGAAACAAAATAAAGGAATTCCGCATTTATAGAGCACTAAGTATTGTTTCAGGAATACGAAGCCTCTCTTCGCGGGCCTTAATGGCTACATTAAAATATTTGAGGTGCTGCGGGCCTTTTTAACACTCTTTTTACTCATGTTCAATACTACCAAGAATTGAAGATAGATATACATACTTCACTATAAAATTAATATTTCAATTTTCTATGGAAACATTGAATACTAACTCGTTAGATTCATTGTTATTTATCCATATATATAATAAAATTGTAACTCAGCCGAATCTGTACTTTAAATATTTTTTGGAAAATCTTATTGAAATAAACATTATTATTGATACAGAGGCCGAATCTATAGTTTTTAGAATTTTTATCTGTCTGTCTATCTGTTATCGCATGACAGAAATATCACTGGAGGGATTTTGATGAAATTTGGTATGGTGATAGCTGGTTATACATACGGGTCAACACATAGAATACTTTTTACCGCGGAAAAATATCTCATTTCTGAGAAAAAATAACTGCAATGTAACAGAGGGTTTTTCATCATGTGAACGCGGGCGGAGCCGCGGGCAATGCTATTAAGCGATCTTTTCGTATTATTTCGCGGATTTATTTTGATTTTTGGTTCCCGACGTTACGAATGCTTTACTGTAATCATGACATGCGTGCTTCGAGACATATAACACCTCAAATAAACAACTAAAAATCAAAATAAATCCGCGAAATAATCCGAATAGATAGTTTTATATAAAATGTCAAATATTCGCGTAAATCTAAGAAAGTAATATGTTATTAAGCGATTAAATATTACTAAAACATCATGTTTATTTAAAATTCCTGTTTATGAATTCTGCATGAAATAATAAAAATTATTTAATTTTGCAGAATATACGGAATATTTCTATCTGTAACTCAGACGAGATCTTAACCAAATTTTTAATTGTATAAAAAGTCTAAGTGAGTGCGCGTCCAGCTCGACAAACGCTTTAAGGGCGAACGAGTGCAAGTTTTAATTACTTTGCCTCTACTTCGAGCTTGTTTCTCCGATGAGACTATTCCTCGCAACTAAAAATTCTCATTTATAAATTGTTTACAGGATCTTTTACCGACCTTGCTAAAAGCGTAATATCACAATTCCCTAATAAAAAGGAAAAAATATCAAAATGAAAAGGAGAAAATTGGGTACAAATCTTTATAAAAATTCTTGTACCGTCACAAAACCGTCCCTTTTATTTTTAATATATTCTCATTTCTATAGTCTAAATTAAATATTCACTAAAAAGAAAGCCAACTACAGAGAGGGTGAACTGAAAACAAGGATCGGGGTAAGAAAAGCGTAGACAATCGGCGGCAATTAACGAAGCAGGAATAATTGATCTACAGAAGCTTTTGTTCTTATTCGTTCCAACTATAGGAATAAAAAATATACCTATGTTTTTATCTATACATATAATAAAATTCTAACTAAGCCGAATCTGTATATTAATTTTTTTTGGAAAATCTTATTGAAATAGACATTATTACCGATACAGAGGCCGAATCTATAGTTTTTAGAATTTTTGTCTCTCTGTCTGTTACCGCGTCACGGAAAAACCACTGGAGGGATTTTGATGAAACTTGGTATGATGATAGCTGGTTATCCGGGTCAACATATAGGAATCTTTTACGGCTGGAAAATATCTCGTATCTAAGAAAAAATACCAAAACTGCATTATAAGAGTATACTAATATGTAAAATCTAAGAATTTGGTTTTTAGTCATCTAAACGCGGGCGGAGCCGCGGGCAATGCTAGTATAAATATAATTTCAGTTGCTGCTAATCTTTTATTATGTGCTGCAAGATAAATGAAATAAAATATTAAATTTTGAGTCAAAGATATTTTGTGGGCTTACTACAAAATGACAGTGGAACATGAAACTCCAAATATTTTTATAAATCTAAGCTAAGGAAGAGAAAGAAATATATTCTGAATAACGCTTAAAATGTTTTCTGTCACTCTATTTATATTTTTCTTTGAAGGAACAGTAGTGCTTCAGTTAAGCTTCTTTTTAAGTGTACATAGAGAAAACTACGTAGTTTTTCTCTTTATGCTACGGAATTTAGTAACATGAATTCAAAGTTGAGTGAAGAAGATAATTGCATTTTTTGTATCGGTACATCTTTAAGGAATTGCGAAACGAACGATATATATATATATATATATATATATATATATATATGTTGGTATCATATATTAACTAATTTTTGATCCCTCTTTCTCATAAAGCGCTTTAATTTAAAAAACCGTTTTGATATTGTAAATGATATGAGTTGATCGCGTGATTACATTCAACTTTCAAAATACAATTTTAAAAACAGTACAATAAAGCTTGTAGCTCGTTATTACAACAGGTTCATAAACTAAGTATTTTCATTAATGCGGGCTTAAAGTTACGGGGAATTCCATTTCTTTTACTCCTTATTGTTCTTTAAGCAATTTATCATGCTTATTCTAGGAGAAAATTTGGAAGACGAAAATAGAACTTAAATTAAATTTAGACAACCAGACAGTGTGGTTTAATCATACAAAAATGCTAGACTAAATAATCCCACGTGGATTACAAAATGAATTCAGTATGGATATCATTATTACTTTATGTAATTAAAAATGCTGCAATTTATATACATATAAAGTAAACATTAAAAATAAAATTACATTTTTAGAGAGTAAAATCATTATGAATTAAGAAACAAAGAAATAATTTGTACGATAGTAATAATTGGTTAAAAATTAATTTTTAATTAACGTGTAAATCATGCATTGTGTTTTATTGTTACTGTTTAATAAGTATTGAGTTTCAAATATTTCCGTTTTATCATTAATATAATAAAACTATGAATAATATTCAGTATTAATAAAATGAGATACAATACTTTCTTGAAAATAGGTAATTAGTACTTGTGATTTTTCCTCACAACGACAGACAACATTAAGTGTATGTAAACGATAAATAGTAATATTTTAACACTCTTGCAGCGTATAATGGACTCAGCAGAAGCCGCTGCACTATCAGCGGGTAGCAACAGTGACATGTCTCCTGGGGCCTACTACGACGCTCGCTGGTTGAACGTGCACGCTGACGATGGAACCCTGGCAGCTCGTGCTAGAAGGCTCTTACTCTCGCCGAGCAGACACTTCGACCATATCGCCGTTAATACTAGCTACAGTGCAGTCCTAATGCCCCCTTATATCAACACTGATGGTATGTTCGAAAGAATATTTTTTTACGTACATTTAGTATGATTATTTTACTAAAATGATCTTTGTATCATAAAAATATTTTAATTCCGTAAAATATTAACTATTTCAACTTATTTTACGTTTATATATGGTAAGTTCCTTTCTAATGGAAATTTTGTACAAACAGCAACCGACAGCGTGGTTAGCAATGCACGAATCCCTTACTGGAACATTTGAAACCGCTTTATTTGATTCTGAGTTTAAAGTATGTTGCAAAGTATTGTGCTTAAAATGTAAAGATATAGTTAGTGCATGGCTATTTAATATAGAAAATTCTAAGCAGTTGAATATAACCAGAAGTTTCAGTTCTATAGAAAATGCATTTATACCTATTATTACTCCTTCTCGCTCCGTTCGGGTTCGTCTCTAGGTACGTTTTAACGGTTAGTATACCTAGATTTCTCAGATAAAAGATATTTTCCGCACTAAATAGTATCCTATATGTTGACCCGGAGAATCAGCTATCACCATACCAAATTTCATCACAATCCCTAGAGTGGTTTTTCTGTGATGTGGTAATAGACAGACAGACAGACAGACAGACAGACAAAAATTCTAAAAACTATAGATTCGGCCTCTGTATCGATAATACTGTTTATTTCAATAAGATTTTCCAAAAATAATTAATGTACAGATTCGGCTTAGTTACAATTTTATTATATGTATAGATTTGATACCCAGCCATTCGCTAAAATTATTTATATAATATGTATGACTCGGTATTGGCTGAAAAATACAGAATTTGTAATATTGATACCAATATCAAGAAAGTCAAGGTCAAATACTTGACTAGAATTACTGCAGTGTCACCCTAATTAGCGCCAGCATTGGCAAACCAAGGCATCTTTAAATGACTTCCGGCTTCTCCATGAATAGGTTCTAAATTAGTACAACCAGCATAATTGAGTAAGATTTATTTGGAGCAAGAGATATTATATATTCGAAGACGAATATGCCTAGGAGCTATATACTAAAATTTTTAATAAATGAGTTTTTAATAGTCCAATAGTTCAATTACATAGGTAATACTTAAATAATTATATACGATGGGCTTTACGATATTAAGAAAATGTTGGTCTTGCTCCAACATTTTCCATGGTTCCATCCACAGAAGCCACGAGTTCTATGCCTAAATGTTTTTTAACAGAGCTAGATCTCTGTCACTGGTAGGACAGATGTCCTATTGATGAAAAGAGGAAAATTGAGGTATGAGAGAGAAAAGACAGCCTTAAAAGTTCGATCTCTTCTGTGCAAGGGAAAGATAGTCAAAGATGAATAACATATTATCAACTGCATTGCCCGCCACTCCGCCCGCGCGCAATTGACCAAAAAGTAAATTCTTAGGTTTTACATATTAGTAGGTATACTCTTGCAATGCAGTTTCTGTATTTTTCCTTAAAAATGAGATATTTTCCCGCGTTAAAAGTATCCTTTATATTGACCCGGATAACCAGTTATCACCATACCAAATTTCATCAAAATCCCTCCAGTGGTTTTTCGGTGATGCCGTAACAGACAGACAGACAGAAAAAAAATCATGTAATGAATGTTTATTTCAATAAGATTTCCAAAAAAACATTTAATGTACAGATTCGACTTAGTTACAATTTTGATGATGTTCTCCTAGCCGATTCCGGCCACGGCGGCCAATCTCAACGAGATTAGCCAACTGCGCAGGAGATATTATAGTGCTCAAGTGTACGCGCAGACACAAGTGCACTCTCTATTCCTATCACTCTCATACTCCGGTGGGACGACCACTCGACACGACCGGTGAGAGTTAAGGCGCAGGACCGACGGCTTTACGTGCTCTCTGAGGCACGAGAGTGAAACACCGCCAACTTCCCAACTCCGGGCTGTTACTGAGACTTACTATACAGGAAGACTCAATAACTAAACTTGGCCCGACCCGGGACTCGAACCCAGGACCCCCAGGTGTGCAGCCGTACATGCTAGCCACTACACCACCGAGGCAGTTAAAAAGTTACAATTTTATTATATGTATAGATGTTTATTTGCAACTTTCATCCTTCTTATACCATTTAAATTGAAAAAAAAACTTGGTCTTCAGATAAAATTGGCAATATAGTTAAATATTAACATTTAACGGATTAGATATATCAATAGGAAAGCTCACTCATATTTTTATTTTTAATATCACCAGTTGCTTTTACTAACGTTGTGTGACAGCGTGACAATACTTGCGTCCTTAAATAAAACGATATATTGTTGACGTACGAGGGGAGAGTGTGAGGGGAGTAGGGTGAATGATTTATTAACAAATGGACTCACATATTTTTGCTTTTAGTTCCAACTCGACATTACTAAACTAACCGATACAATCACTGAACTTAATTTGCTAAATCGATACTGATGATGATGATGTTCTCCTAGCCGATTCCGGCTACGGCGGCCAATCTCATTGAGATTAGCCAACTGCGCAGGAGATATTATAGTGCTCAAGTGTACGCGCAGACACAAGTGCACTCTCTATTCCTATCACTCTCATACTCCGGTGGGCCGACCACTCGACACGACCGGTGAGAGTTAAGGCGCAGGACCGACGGCTTTACGTGCTCTCCGAGGCACGGGGGTGAAACACCGCCAACTTCCCAACTCCGGGCTGTTACTGAGACTTTCTATACAGAAAGACTTAATAACTAAACTTGGCCCGACCCGGGACTCGAACCCAGGACCTCCGGGTGTGCAGCCGTACATGCTAGCCACTACACCACCGAGGCAGTTGAAAACGATACTATAGTCCCTACAAATAGACGAATAACATAAAAAAAAATTATGATATTGTATTGTGGGTTTTAAGAAGCTCAAATTATTTTCAGAAATTATAATATATTTTTAAGCTTCAAGCTAACCCAATAATTCTACTAAATACGAATAATTTCATAGAAAAATACACATACACCGAAAGCGAAACCTTTTTACAATACTTTTTATGGATTTTTTCATTTATCTAAAACATTTTAAAGCATTCCAGCATAGTATCAAATATAGTGCATATGAATTGTTAATCCAACAATATTTTAGTGTAGTAGTTGTATGTTATTTAAAATCTGAATAAAATAGGAAAACTAAAGGTAACTGTATCAAAACTGAATATACCAGGATAATAGGTACTCAGCGCTGCGGCTATAAGCTATTACAGTGAGCTCTACATCAAAGCTTTTAGCCGGCAGAACTCAATTAACCTACATTGAATTTGAGCTGGTAGTAGAAACTTTTCTTAAGCGGAATCAATGTGCAAATTCAATTTCGTAACCCATACCGACCGACGCTTCGATTCAGAGACACTTGCGCAATAACAGTTCTTCTGTATGCATTTAATAAATTGTAACTTATAGGTATATACGACTAGCATTGCCCGCGGCTCTGTCCGCGTTCAGATGATCAAAAACCAAATTCTTAGGTTTTGCATATTAGTATACTCTTGCATTGCATTTTTTGTATTTTTTCTGAGAAATTAGACATTTTCTCGCGGTAAAAAATACCCTATATGTTGGCCCGGATAACCAGCTATCTAATTTCATCAAAATCCCTCCAGTGGTTTTTCTGTGATGCGGTAACAGACAGACAGACAAAAATTCTAAAAATTATAGATTCGGCCTCTGTATCTATAATAATGACTATTTCAATTAGATTTTCCAAAAAATATTTAATGTACAGATTCGGCTTAGTTACAATTTTATTATATGTGTAGATTGTAGAATAAAACTTCATTATAATAATGGATATACTTAGTATTTTGATTCTCACTAAGTTTTACTTCGCTTATACAACTGCGCAGAATAACAACACTATTATATAACTTAACTGCAATCAAGTCATTGTTGACAGTGCCATAAAATGTTATATTTAAAATAAAAATATGCATCTATACTAACTGTTTAAACCCAAATTTGAGACCGACTTGAAATAATTCAATACTAAAATATTTTTGCATAATTATTATTCGATTTCAACTACGAAGTGGATATTTGCATAGCATGGTAAAAACAGCTTTTTAAAAATATGTCATCAATTCCATATACAATATAGTGAGCTGGTGCTTTTATCTATGGCTAAAACAAAAAAAAAACAAATTTACTGCCAGTGAAAATAAATCAGGTCATTTTTAGCTTTATGGATGCTGACTTTTTTAAAGTATGCTTTATAGTTCTTTTCTTAATATGACTCTATTCTCATCTCTTCCATTAGACTTATAGGGCTAGATAGGGCTTAACTTTTCAATCAAACTTTTCTATGAGATGAGTTAGAAATTTCTAAGCGTATTTACTCAAATTACCACATAAATTTTTGAAAAAAAGGTGTTAGTCCGAGAACGTCCACTATGTTATATAGAACTGAATATTTTTGTTATTTTAAATGTGTTTTTGTATTTTTGTTTATAGATAGCGAGGTTCAAAACCAAATATCTTGGTCGGAACATTTGGACCCTCTGTTTGTGAATAACTATGAAATCGATCCCACACTCTCGTGGCAGTACTATGCATCATCTTCGGGCTTCATGAGACGATACCCAGGTTGGTGGATTATTTACATTTATTAATGGATCAGTTGTAATGAACCGAGTATACCTAATAGTATAACCAAAACTTAATACATATATTTTAAATGAACTATTTTTTCGGATTTTCTGGTCTCCCCATGATCATGTTGGCCTTGTCAAGCTTTGGAATGTCGGGAACAAAAATGTCTAATAAAACCGAGACAAAATCCGATTTTTTTCCGGTTTCATTTAAAATGTCAAATATTCGCATAAATTATAAGAAAGTATTTCAATGTGTATGTAATTATTTAAATGTTTTGTTTAGCTATGTCTTGGCCTCCCGAAGATGGATATTCGCACCACGCCCGCGACTTCTACGACTTTAGGTCATCAAACTGGTTCGTGGAAGCGGCCACTTCACCGAAAGACCTTGTTATCTTAATAGATGACTCTGATGATATGGGTTCTTCGTATCGTCGACTCGCAAAGGCGACGGTGTCAGCCCTGCTCGATACTCTTGGTCCGAACGATTTTGTCAACGTATACAGATATAGCGACACAGTTTCTGAGCTTCATCCTTGCTACACGAAAATTTTAGCACAGGTAAGTTAGCGTTTATCTCTATTTACTAATTAATAATTATTGATTTTTAAAGATAACATATATTGCAGTTCTTAAATGATACGAGAATAGTATCTAATGGAATTACAATTTTAATACAAAAAGGTAATTTTAGTACGATATTTTATGCTATCAACTTTGCAAAAGAATCCTGTATTTTATGCTTAATTACGTATTACTCACTAGTGACTAAGCGGCTTAGATTATTTTTTTTATAATTCCACTGGTAATAACCTAAATTAAATAATAGCAAAGTCATAGGTACAATTAATCAGTAAAGGAGTTTTGTGCAAACTTCTGTATCTTTCTTAATAACTCGTAAGCTACAATTTATTGTCACATCAATTTTCACATTTCTATAAAATGTTATTTAATTGGAAATTATTTAAGCCATGCGAAGAGACGGCGGGCGTAAAATTTGCTCACTCTGAAAATCTGCTTACGTAGCGCTCTGGGCTATAACAAGGATAATTTACATATATGCGGAATTCATCAGTAGGAGCGATGGTAGTCGAGGTATGCGAAGTGGAGCATTGATCGCGATTCACTAGGTATAGATTTATTTTGAGGATAATAAAAACAAATTTTCAACACGCACAAATAGAAGGCTTATTTAAATAGATATGTTATTATTTTTGTTATTATTCAAATACAATGTAAATACAAAATAAGTATTTGAAAACCCTATTACTTCAAAAGTCAAGGACAGTTATTTTGATGAATAAGTCTAGTTTTGGTCAATTACAAACAAATGCATGTATCGCGTGTTGTTGCTGATATACATCTGCGTCGTACGTACGCGTACTAATGGATTCCACCGAACGCGTTTAATGCGGGGATCTATTAAAAACGGGACACAAATAATATAATTTCGTAACTCCACTACCTCAAACGAAGGCTTTGATAAAAGTTTTCTCTGCCTTACATAATATTTTTTACCATGTGCAAGCGAGATAGAATATTCGTTGTTAGTAAAATCCAGAGCTTAACCTAATTGATTCGTTGGTTTTCATTCGTCTATTTATAAAACGTATGCTTGAATATCATTATTTATGTCAAATATTTTACAATGATAATATTTTTTAATATACATACATGCCTTTAACGTAAAAAATATGTATGTTCAATCGACATAAATTTGTTATCTAAATCTTTACAATCTGACCCCTGCCCAAAATATCTCCGTAATTACATATTATTAATGCTATATAACATGACAGGACTTTAGCCGCCCAAAAACGAAACACTTAATAATTTATTATTACTGTTCTTTATAATTTAGTACTAACGGTTTCTAAGTAAATATTTCAATAGGAAACGACTTATGAATACAAAAGTGCGCCCTTGGAACGTCGCACGTAGCTGCAAAACATCTCATGAAATTCTCATCATTTGTTCAGCCTCTTCACGCACCTTGTTGGTGGAATTTTAAGTTCTTAGGCAGTTACTTTACGTAAGTGAAAAGTTTACGTCGAAGCTTTGACAAGGTCAATGTACCCATGTTATGTTGTATCAAAACATCATGATAAAAGTTTAAAATTTAAATATATTTAATATTCTATACACAAACTTATAATCTATTTATCTATACATGTAATAAAATTCTGAGTCCAATCTGTACATTAAACATTTTTTGGAAAGTCTTATTAAAATAGTCATTATTATTGATACAGAGGTTGAACCTATGGTTTTTAGATTTTTTGTCTGTCTGTTTGTCTGCCTATCTGTCTGTGACAGCATCACGAGAAAACCACTGGACAGATTTTATAAAATTTGGTACGATGATAGTTGGTTATCCGGGTCAACATATAGAATACTTTTTACTGCAGAAAATAGCTCATTTCTGATAAATTTATACTAAACGTTAAAACGTTAATCGCTATATATTTTAATAAATGTTGAATGTTTATTGATTTCTTATTTTTTTTAATTAAGTTTAATTAAGTTAAATTACATTTTTAAATAAAGTTTAATTGTATAGCTTTAACAATATGTTATTACAATCGTATATTTATAACAAATACTTTGCTGTACGACTGCAAAGTTTTAAGATTACATCTGCGCTACGTACTCTCTACGGAGAGTAGGCGCGAGTAGCTCGTGACAGGTAAGGTGAGACCTTATCGGCCAAGTTCGTAACTTTGCCCGACTTGCGACTTGCACATACGATATTCGAAATGACAAGTTTGACTCGTCGCGAGATTGAAATCACCCAACTGGAATTATGGAATATTACATAAGTTCGTGTTACTCTATCGATATTTTTATGGTTGGCTTGTAGAGTCTTTGTGTCAATTTTACTACGTTATATATTTTATTATTATATGTACCTATATAGGTGTTTGTTAATATTTTTGTTGACTAGGTACTATTGGATACTCATATAGCGTTAGTAATAATTAAGTTAATAAATTAGAAAATATTTCAGAAAAAAGATCCTAATTTAATTATTTTCAAAATAGAAAATTCCTACTGTATAAAACTTAAAACATTACTATTTTCCTTTAAAATCACTAGTCCAATTTAAATGTACTTTCATGTCCGTGTGTCCAAATTATATAACAGAAGCTATTTAGAAATACTTAAAAATGACAGCACAGTTTAAAAGCACCTATGACGAGCACTACCACACATCTAAATGGAATCGTGACATAAATCCTTGACCCTCTCAAGGTTTACAAGGCAGCGGGAAGTGACTAGTTCTCAACTATTCTAAAGCTCTCTAGTTCACCGACCACCTTCCTCTTTACCTTTGCTAATGTCGGTAATGGAGACAACTATTTATGTCACAGAAATTATGCTCGTAGTTCAAAGTAATGAGATTTTTATTAAATTAAGTTATAATTTATTTATTTGCATATCCGTATGTTTAATATATGACGACACGTTTGGCTCAGTTTGTAGTGACCCTACTTGCTGTGCCAGCGGTCGCGGATTCGAGTCCCGCTGGGGGCATTCATTTGTATGATGACGAATGTTTGTACTCCAGTCATGGTTGTTTATATTTATAATATGTATGTATTTAAAGTTATATATGTGTAGTGTATCAACTTTCTGGTATCCATAACACAAGCCTCGTAGCTTACCGTGGAACTAGATGGTGCTGTGTGTTAATGTCCCTACATATTTATATATTTATAATATTATATGTAAATGTGAAAGGTTATTAGTATGTATGAATGTTTGTTACTCTTTCTAGCCAGAACCGCTGAACAGATAAGGATGAAATTTGGCACAGAGATAGATTATAGTCTGGAATAACACATAGGCTACCTTTTATCCCGGAATAATGTACGGTTCCCGTGGGATAGGTTTGTTTTTGTTTTCCTAGAGGTGAACCCGAACGAAACGAGGGTGAGCCGCTAGTAGTTAATTAAATAAGGAACGTGTCCCATATTTTTATAATAAGCCTTTTCAAGTACATTTTAGTTAATTATGGACTTTTATTACAGTAGGTAGATTTTTGCTATATCGTAAAAACTATATAATGAATGTTTAGTTCCATGGTAATCATATAAGCATCAAAACTTAACAAGCAAGACTCAGTCAGCCTCGCGTTAAGGGTATCATCCACTATTCAATATAAGATCTTATTTTATTAAATACCTAACACAAATATATTGTGTAGTTATACAAAAATCTCGAATGGATTCAGATTCAATATTTTTTACTAAAATACATACAAATACGACTTTCTTATGAATAAAAAAGCACTTTCTCATGAGCAAAAAATTGGAATATATAAGCTTCAACACGCCTTTAAAGCATCATCTAGGAGTTTTATGTAAGATTTTTTTAAGAAATCACAATGCTTAAAAGGTATTTTAACGAGTGCATATGTTTCAGGCGGTACCTGAAACAATACGGGAGCTAAAAGGGGAAGTATGGGCGGCTGAGGCGTCTGGCGGTGCGGCCAATCTGACCGGCGCTCTCACCACGGCCTTTGAAATACTCCATCGGGTATAAGAATTGCTTTTATACATTGTAGCTTTTGACGTGTTGACCGTAGGCTTTGAGGCCACTCTAAAGAATAGAAATATGAATTAAATTCACTCGGCCTAAGGCGAAGCAAATATTTTATAAAATTATGTATTCGTAAATAGATACGTAACTAAATTTCAACTAGTTTGCTAGATGCATTGATTAAATCAAAACAAAATATACTTTATTCAAATAGACTTTTACAAGTAATTTTGAATCGTCTATTTTCACATTATTAAAATTTGAATTAAATGTCAATATACTCGTATAAGTCCCTGAGGAATCCACCACCGGCTCGGAACGCAGTTCTGTTGAGAAAAGCCGGCGAGAAACTCAAACCAGTACTATTATTCAATTTTTGACTTTGTAAATTATTACTTGGCATAATGTTAAAGTAATTTAATTTTACGACATTTTATAATTTATTTTTAACGACAGCGCAAATGTAGTGCAAAATTGGCTATAACTATAATATGTTATATTATAATATATTTTTATTTCGCCAGTACAACCGTACGGGGCAAGGTTGTCAATGTAACCAGGCGATTGCGGTGGTAGGAGCAGGAGGGGGCACGGCGGGAGTAAAAGCTGTTTTCCGTACGTGGAATTGGCCTCATATGCCTGTACGCATTTTCACATATAGAGTAGGCGGAGATGCTGCTTCAGGACACAATATGAAAGAAATGGCGTGCACTAATAAAGGTAAGTGTATTATCTAAGTACCTGAAAATTTAAATTACAAAAGTTTTTGTAGAAGAAACAAGGTTTTATATAACTAAAATATTTACCTTAAAACAGTATTTTATATATTAAATTCTTATTCTTTTAAGATATTATATCATAAGAAATAACAGTAACATTTATTATTATATTTTTTTCAACAAAACTGCTATAATCCATTCTTTCACACAGGATTTCATGTGACCATCAATGACCACGGGGAAATTCGATCTAAAGTGCTGCATTTTGTGGAAGTACTAGCTCGACCAATGGTCATGTACCAGACCCTGCATCCCGTCCACTGGAGCCCCGTTTACGTCGGCGGAAGGGTACGATCACATAGAGAAACATTATAATATAAATAGTGTTCATCTTAAAAACCTTTATTATCTTTAAAATTTAACTCAATGATATGATTTTTTGATTAATGTAATGGGCAACTAATTTTTTTAATCTGTTTTTATTTAGAGACTTTTTACGCACAAGGCGAAAATGTCAGTCCCATCGTTCCCTAAATATATAAAATACATTGGCAATTTATTTTAAGCAAAAGGCTAACTTTAAAAAAAAATAGTACTCACTATTTAAACTTAAAGTTGTAACTGTAAAGCATATTAGCTGCAATCGAGGTAGGTTCAGCCAGTATGCTTTGAAATATACCCACATTCACTGAGTTTATCTCAAATTGACTCAACAAATCACAACGGCTCCCAGCATTCTGGATAAATTCCATTAAGAAGCATTGTACATCCTGTTCTACTCTTGCAACTAATTTTGCAAATGTATTTTTTTACAATTAACAGAGTAGCAGCCTTGATGATGACGGGATGGGTCAACTGATGACATCAGTAACCGTTCCTATTTTTGACAGACGAAATCGAACGGTAAATAATACTTTTCTTGTGTCAAATATTTTATAAAAATGTTTAAATATAATGGAATTATAATTAATCCCTGCTTAAATTTTAGCATAGAGAAGCCAACTTACTGGGTGTAGTGGGCACTGATGTTCCTGTCGATCAAATAAAGAAGCTCGTGCCACCATACAAGGTACATATATAACAGATATTATTATTCTTATAGCTATCCTGGAAATTAAATTATCAATTGAGTGTGGTTTAAATTAAACTATGAGAAAGATTTGTTAATGACATTTTTTTATTTTCTAGCTAGGAGTAAACGGTTACTCTTTTATGGTGGATAACAACGGGCATGTTTTGTATCATCCAGACTTAAGACCTTTGGTAAGATAACTTACATTTACTAAATTTTACCAAATATTTTTTTATTTAATATACAACGATAAAATAATTACACCAATTTTTGTTTCAGCACACAAATGAGGAGGTAAGACACCATATTCATCAACTATTTTATAAAAATACTTCATAGGTTTTTCTTTTAAATATTGGGATCTTTATCATTTTTGCAAAGATGTAAAACGGATTTTTTGCTACAGTACACGGAAACTCTACGACCTCTCTACTCCAGCGTGGATGTTACGGACGTAGAACTGCTTGTAGATTCTGATGAAAATTCGCGAGTCAACCTAACTTCATTACTTCTTGATGTGAGTATAACTATTCCGCTCTGTTAAATTTTTGTAGGTTTAATGTTCCTTCGAGCAAGATACACGCATTCATATTAATATATAAATTAACAATTCAACTCGTACTTATGCTTAGTGTGATATTTCTAGCTCCGACATGACATGATAGAACAGCGTGAAGGCGAAACTGAAATGGGCGTGAAGGTTCAGTATGAAGGCATGAGACGTGTCGCAACACGGCGTCAGCGCTACTTCTATAGTCCGGTGGACGGCACGCCTTACTCGCTGGCCGCCGTATTGCCCGATGGCTACGGCATGTACGAACTGCAAGCGGAACAGGAAATAAAACACAGTCCTATCAATGGTGAGTTTACTTATTATTTTGACTTAGATTAAGTATCCAGTTTAGCAGAAATGTATCCTAACACTAAGATATGATAACAGTTGGTACAATTACCATATCTATTACTGTCTTTTTGTTGTAATTAATTTTTTTATTATTATTATCGATAAAAAAATTGATACTTATATATTAATTTTTATTACGATTGTTTATTCTATATAATTTTTTCCATGCAGTCACGGAATATTTCAAAGGAGAAAATTGGAAGATTCATCCAGATTGGTAAAACATATATCAATATTTTTTATATTAATGAATTATTTTTTTTGTTGACAAGACTATATGAGGTCTTTAAAATTTTAAAATCATTAATAATTATTAACAAATAAGCTAAAGAAGAATATTTTTGTAAAATGGATTACTACAATCTCAACATTCATAGTACGCTAAAAGTTTAAGAGAACAAAAATGGTTGAATGCCAAATAAAATCTATCCCCTTTCCATCTCTCATAAACTATTCTAATCACAAAAATGTTGTAATAAAAACTAAATAATAGGGTGTACTGTGAATACGCGTCCACGTCTGACCAAGCGTTCAACTCGCCCGAGGAGCAATTGCTGCACTTCCTGACGCGGTCCGGCCGTCCCGGCTGGAAGTGGATGTCGCTGCGGCCGCGCGCGCTCACCTTGCATAATGCTCATAAGAAGCAGGACCGTGACTCGTACTATTGTAAGTAATACTTTTTTACTTACAGAAAATTACTTTCGTACAGAAAATTATATTTGAAATTGCAGAGAGAAATGAAGAAGTGTTTAAAAATGATTTAAAATTTTAATGTCATTGCAGGTGATAAAACTTTAGTACAATCACTGGTCCGGGACGCAATGGTAATAAAAGAGTTGGACGCTCACACAGGACATGCCAGCCATCACTCCCAGTAAGTAGCATTACGATGAAAAGCATGTATAATAGCTTTAAAATACTTGTTTCCAAAATTTTAATGTCTACAAATAAAAATAAAAACCCAAAAAACCTCGAAAACTATACTTAACTGAATATATTATTCGCAATCTCATCGGCAAGATATAAATATCGCATGACTCTCTTAATTTTGCACCCATAGAGATTAAGAGCACCTCGACGCACTTTATTTTATTTTATTTTGATCACTAATGTCTATGTGTTTGTCACACGAATAGCCCGATAGCAACATTAATGGCACTACTAACAAGGTAACGTAACAATAAAATCTCCATACTAATGTTTCGCGTAGATGAAACTAGAAAAAAAAACAATACCTTCTAGACAAAAAATGAAAAATCGCTAATGTAGATTAGTTCAGATGTGTGAAGTTTGCAGATCCTTAGAAGCTACCTTTGAGTGTAACTAAAGTTAATTCTAAGTTGTAGGCTTTTCCCCCTCCTTTATACAATGTTTGGAATTTGTATGGATAGGAATAACCATGAAGTTACTATAGAGTAAATGATTTCATTTTACCCTTTTCATAGATAAAACCAATCCATCATTATATATAAATAGAAACTAGTATACTTTTATGCATAAACAACAAATCTGAGAGTGTCAATATAAGGCAATATAAGTGGCTAAAGACGGCAAAGTCGAGTATTAAATATGTGTGAAGTAGCGTTAAGAACATTCTAAATCGATTTCATACACAATTTAACTGAAAAGCTAAACGCATCGCACTATGAAAAAATGCATTTGCTTTTCTACATACCTGCATTTCATAAGCTGCCAAGGACTCAGGTAAACTAATTGACCCGTAACATTATTTTTCTTAACAGGTGTTTCTAGCTAGCTTGGATTATATGGATATCTAAAATATTTATTGAAGTTATACTTCTTTTAGCACGTTTAGAAAAAAATATGAGAGTAAAATTTTTACGATGCACGTACACTGACAGCCAAAAAGCAACATGATGAAGCTGCATTCCTTTTACAAACAGAGAGTTGTGACATACGGGTTGAAATCTTTAGCTATTTTTGTTCTGTTACGCCAAAGAAGTATAATTTCTTACGTGCTTACATAAGTACACATACACGTTTTTTATTTACTATGTATTTATTTTATTTATAAACGATAAGTTTAGTAAGATTAAGGTATATCGAATTTACAATAAACTGGGAGACTTTTCAAATTGTAAAATTTCTATTAATGACATGAAATGATAATAAGTTGTTAGTTAAATGAAAAATGTTTTACCATGACGCGTTTTAACGCGTCATGGTAAAACATTTAATTTAAACCACACTCAATTGATAATTTAATTTCCAGCATAGCTATAAGAATAATCATATCTGTTATATATGTACCTTGTATGGTGGCACGAGCTTCTTTATTTGATCATGGTATTTATACCAACCAATGACCAAAAATAATCAAGAAAATCTTATTTGTAAAAAAAACCAAGTGCATAGCTAATATTTTTGGTAATCATTAAAAAAATATGTCATTAATATTATTTCATTCATCAAAATTCATAAAATCTAATTCTTTGTACTAAGACGATAAATCGTTACAGACAAGGGCGCTTTCACAAGTTCGTGGTATCAATGTCCTTCATCGCTACTAGAAGCGGTCTTCTCAAGTGGACCGAGAACATGAACAGCTCAAGGTCGACTGACTCTTCTGAAACGTATGTATAAAAATTCTGGGCTTCTATTTTAAAATCAATTGTCAAATACATGATTGGTTAAGACAATAAAATTAATTCTGCTATGAATCTTCTTATTTCAAATATAAAAAATACATGTTTTGAAAGGCTGACCGAGTCTTTAAACCCTAAAACAGGTCGAAAGTATAATGTTTCCAAATGTTGCCTTTTTAACTAAAATAATAGATAAGATTTTCTAGATACAATTAAAAACAATAACTGGTAAGCAACAATGGGGAGAAGCTAATAAAATGGTATTCAATTTTGTTATTTATATTTTCCTAGGCATTTTAGTGAAAAATATGCTCGAGCGTTCGATTCCGAGTGGTACCGTCGAGCTGTCGAACATCACTCAATAGAGCCAGAGAGCTTTGTGTTCTCCGTTCCGTTCCGTGATGGTTCCGAACCAGAAGATTTCAGTGGAAAGACTCCTTTAGTACTCGCCACTCATGCAGTCTTTGTAGAATCAAGAGGTCACCGCGCCCCCGCCGCAGTGGTCGGGTTGCACTTCCAACTGGATTCTCTTGCGAAACACTTCTTGAATGTTACTTCTACGGTTAGTTTTTTTTTTGGATATATTTCATGTAAAAAAATATTGTGCAGTAAAAGAAATTAATATTTCAGTCAATACTAACTGTAAATTATAGTAATTCTAAGTCTATATCTAACTAAATCCTGTCCCTGAACCTTTGTTGTCTCTCCAAGATGGGATATCGAAAGAACCATTAATAATTTAGATTTAAATATTTTATTTCTTAGCATCCTTTTCATGAAAAAAAAACCTTGACTAAAGTTATGGTCACTTTATTTTAAATTTATCTTAAGAAAACTATTAACTTCTATCATTATTGCCTTTAACATAAAAGTATATTTAACTAGCGACTCACCCTCGCTTCTCTCGGGTTCTTCCCTAGCTTGCTTCCCAATGCAAACTTTCATCCCCATTTTCATCCCCTTAAGATTTGATTTCTAGGGTCTCAAACTATCTTACTACCAAATTTCATCTAAATCGGTTTAGTAGATCCAGAGCTTACCCCTCCAACGTCACAAACTCACAATCTCACAAACTTTAATACCTCTTTATAATATTAGTATAGATAACCTACAACTATGTTTAATAACACTACGTAATTATTAATTACAGTGTACAGCCGGTAGTATTTGTAAGAAAACATGCGCTGGAGACGAACTGGACTGCTATATCTTAGATGACAACGGTTTCATTATTTTATCAGAGGATGCATCTCAAACAGGAAGATTCTTTGGACAAGTTGATGGTACCATAATGGATTCACTGGTTCAAGATAGAATTTACAAGAAAGTTACAGTACATGATCATCAAGGCCGATGTCCTGATTCAAGGAACCCCTTTAGCGGAGCGAGTAATAAGTTAACACCAATGACACCACTATCCTGGGTCGGCGGATACGTTTTCAATTTGATAGCGGTATGGTATCCGCTGTGGGAGACAGTACATGCGCGTCCTTATGCACATGCTGAAGAAGAATTAGGTAGTTATATCTAAATCTTATATTGTAATATAGAAAATATATTTTTAAAGTTACGCTAAAATATTCAGAAATTAATATATCCAAATATTACAGATTACGAAGACTACGAAAGTGAAGATATGGAACATGACGATGATTTAGACCGAGATCGTGGAACATATGAAATTATTATCGATGGGATGGGGGGCACTGACAAGGGGCATGAAGCGCCCCCGGCGAGCCCCGGACCGCCGCGCGAGCCCCCGCGCGAGGCCGCGCGCTCCGCCGCCGTGCGACCCTGCGACACTAGCGCCGAGCTCTTTACACTGCAGTCTACCAGACTAAATGCAGCGCAACCTTTGAAGGGAAAGCTCACTAACTGCCATAATTCAGGATGTGAGAGGTAAATTTTTTGTATATAAAAGGTTAGATGTAAAATAAGTAAAACAATATTTAATTATGTTAACTTTAAAAAAATCATTAAAAGTCAATCTCAAATAATTTCACTGTAGGGCCACATCCTTACAGGGTAATAGAGACATTATAATCCACTGTTCGTATTAACTAAATCACTATGTAGTGTTGACAGAAATCATCGTCAATACAAACATATATCCCGTGGATTCAAATCCGCAACCTCCAATAACCCGATTAAACGTTATCAATACGACATAAGGTTGTACATTAATTTTTAATACATAAACAATGTTCACAGACCATTTAGCGTGCAGAAGATCCCGCACAGCAATCTGATCCTCCTGGTCGTGGACACGCTGTGCCCGTGCGGCGCCAAGCGGCTGGACGTGCGCGCGCGCGAGGCGGGCGTGCGCACCGCGTGCCGCCGCGCGCCGCGCGCGCTGCCGCGCCGCCGCCCGCCCGCCTGCGTGTCCTACCACCCTGAGGTAATATCTCATCATATTCTTAGTTTATGTTATAAACTGGTCTTATCGCCTCTACAGGCGGCTAGCATTCTTGCTACTATTCTACGCGGATATGATTTGTACAGTAACAACTAAGTGTTCATTTGTTTTGTATATATAATTAACAATTGTATTTTTTCATTGTAAATAAAGTTATGCAAAGGGCTGTTTATATTTATGTTTTCATAAATTGCATTATTTCCTTGGTAGGTTTTACTAAGGACCACAGTAACTTATCACTCGCTTAACGGTCGAATGTACTAAGTAACATAGTGACAATAAGTAGAGACATTCAACGCTAGGTTTTGTGTTTAAGTAAAGCAAAATATCAACGGTTGGTCTCGACGAAAACGAAACACGAAACAAATCAATCAACGCGAAAATCGACATACGATTGTTAATATAATAGCTACCGACATTATTAATTATTATTTATATTGTTTCAGGAGATCGAAATCCAGTCGTGTGGCCGCGGCGCCCGCACGCGCCCTCTGTTCGCGTTGCTCGCCGCACTCGTGCTGCGATTATTTTTCGATCTAATTAAATCAACGTGACTGTCCAATACCCTCTAAATCCACAAACCAGGCCGCATGTCCACGACCATTCGAAGCTTTCTATATAACCATGTCGAATTCCATAACAGAGATTGATTTATCCAGACACCGTTTCATGAATTTTAATTGGAAAGCTCCGCGGGTCCACCGCTGTGTTCGAGCGACGTGTTTCAGTGTGAATGGAATATTCGTGTGAACTTTTGTGCAAAGCGTTGATGGCCGCCGAATAGCAGTGGCGTCTGCGAAAGAAGCCGTGGTGCTCTCAGTCTTAAGGGATACATACCTACTCGTATAGTGTACTAAATACAAATATTTAAAGTTGTTAATAGCAACTCGGCATCTAAAACGCTGACGCCATCTGCCCATATGGTAGGTGTATGTGAAATGTTTAAAGTTTTGATCAATTTTACCGACTGAAGTTTTGGTCCGACCAAGTGAACTTTTGATCTTGTTTTGAGACAGGATTTTCGATTCGAGCTAAGTTAAGGTAACGTTTAAATATTCTCTCTTCTCCGTTAAGTTGTCGGTCTTGATATCGTACCAGCGACTCAGCCGCGTACGGTGAATAGATAGGTAACTAATATCTTGTTAAATTTAATCAAGAATTATCAGACGCTCGGAGATCTTATAAATTATAGCTAATGTTAATAGATATTTAATGATAATAAATGTAAAATAAAAATATCGTTTAAAAACTGTTTTAGAAAAATTTACCTATGTTGATCCTAACACGATTTATTTCATTATATTATACGTTCGAGAAATTAATTGCAAAAGATATTGAATAGTTGCATATATTTATTATTTTTATTGTAAATAAGAATCCTTGTTTGTAGGCAATTCGTTTGCTACAGTTATGTGTGCCGTATTGTATTGTCAGTATTAGTGTGAAGTGAAGAGTCGACGAGTAAGCATCGTAGAGCTAGTTTTAAAGAACGTTATGCCTTTCTGCAGATGCAATAGTAGAGAAAGGCTATTTCCATCTATAATATACATACACAGTCAAACTAAATATCAAAAATATGTTCTGTAGCGCCTTTATAGGACATATAGGTTGATTTTTAAAGATAATAAATAAAAAATTCAAGATCGATCCTAATATTTAACTAGAAGGTAAACTCTACTTGTTCGTGTAGAAATATACCTTGATATTTTTCGGAATTTTAATCTTAATTTTAAAGAATTTTCGAATCCCATCACATTCTGTTAAGCAAATATAACTATTAAAATATATATTATAAATTGTGCAGTACAGGGATGGATTAGAATAGCCTTCGCCAGAATATATTTATAGAGTGAATTTCATTAATTAATAATTATTGGAAGAGCTTTGAAAGTTAAATATGTATATTTCATAATGCCTACATTGCATATTATTTATTTAAAAAAATACAATTTATTTTATTGACATTTAAATCTTAATTTCACTTCATAAGAATTAATAGTAAATTATTTTAATAGAATTATGTACTTCGTCAACTAAATTTAATATTAACTTGGAATTTGGAATATAACAATCCCAAGGCTCTTCCTACGATTCTAAGAAGTAGGTACTATCTACGAAGTTCTCTACAATATTTCTCACGATGTCCTCTCGGCCGACTCCCATTCGTATACTTTTTAGAAAATTTTGCCTAATCTTTGAATAATGTTGTACGTATTTGAGATATTGTAAGCAGTCTCGTTTTTATTGTAAATATTTAACTTAAAAGGCCTACTACATTTAAATGTGTGTTGCTAATGTTAATAGTTCGAATTCGACTTTTTCTGTCATACGCTAATATCTAATTATATCTCACCAATCACGATATAATTTGCATACTCTCGTATACTCTAATTGACAAGCTGTCGTACTATGGGTAATTAAAACAAATGATCACTGTAGCTTGTCAGTTAGAACTATATTGACTCATTCTTGTTCTCCATATGACTACCATCTAACATTACGAATATCTCCATAAGAAAACATCTAAATAAAATAAATTTAATAATCTGTTTGTACCTATCATAATGTTAATTAGAAATTAAATTCAGAAACATAATAACATATAAAAATTATATTATATAACATCAAATAGATATAGATAAGAGCTTGCTGTTGTCCAGAGTCAGTTTTTTTTTATTCAAACAATAAGCTGAAATAGTACAAAACTATATAAACTTGTAATGTCTCGCATCGTGTGCCAAACCACGTCTAAGTTTCGTCAATATGGATTTTATTGTATGGGACCGATAAGTTCATGTCTGTGCAAAGGACAATAGCATGCTCGTAGTCCGATCAAGTAGAGTTAATCACAGTATTCTCATCTCACTCTCGTAACCCCTTTTCTCAACTTCTTAGTTCTTTTCGCTCTACATTAAAAGCTCATTTTTAACCTTGGCCATATTAATAATTATCGAATCAGGTTGAAGAGTTGTTATATTTGTATGCAGTTTACTGTGATCAATTCATCAATAAATAATTCTATGTAAAGTTCCGACATTATTGTATGTTTGTGGGCGGAATTCAAATTTTGAATGAAAATACACTTCCGGTGTCATTACCGCTTTTCTAAGTACAACTTTTGATGTCACTTGAAAATGCAAAATCTAAGAAAGTTTTAATTTGATTTATATTAATAATAATGTTTATTGAAAGCATATTTCAATTTAAACGATGGTATAAGTATTTTAATATTAGTCTTATTTTCTGTGAGACGTGACAATGATACCGTAATGACATTCGAAAGCATTCGTCGTGCAAACACGAGTGGCGTTAAGTAATAGTGGGTACGCTTTTGAGATAATGTACATTTTGTATAAATATAATACAGTAAGGAGTCGATATAAAGCGTAATATTCATCTGGTGAGTGGCGAACGACTGGTAATGTATTGAAAGTGCTTCTTGTAAGCGTCGAGTCTTCCATAGCAGTCGAACGCGGGGCGAGTGTTACTGTAACTAAGCATTAAACGATAATAATAGAGTATATTTAACATAGCATAGGTGAGCTCGGCTCTTGCAATGTGGGCGACAGCACTCCGGCACTCCGGGTTCCATTACGTTAATACGAGTATAGACACAAAACAAATACCTCGTTTAGTTACGCAAAACTAGCTAGACAGTTAGAATTCATTTCGCGTTTAGTTATTGGACATATCAATTCAGGCACCAATAAGACTATAGCGTAAGCAATTTTTTGAATATTTTCAATTGTGATCTTGTATTATTCGTTTTAGGGAAGACCTCGCTTTCTCGCGTCCTATCGTATAATTTTCTTTAAAATAATTATATGTTATATTATAATGGTGTTATAGGTAAAATATATTGGACCGTTTAAATGTTTGAAATTTTATTGTCATCGACTTAAAATTGTGCTTGAGAGGGAGGTCTACCTAATGACATTTTAAGGTCCATATGTGCAATAACTTTTATGTAAGCAACGGTTATTTCTAAAATGACGTCACATTCTAGTATCGGTGTATACTGTATACTGTATGTAGAATTTTCTACAAAGTATTTAATTATTATTTATTTAATATCTGGTTTCAATCTCACTGTAATCATCCCCTCGTTAAAGCTTTTAGGAGTTAGGTAATTCGAAATTTTATGAAAGTAAACTTTTGAAAGGCAAATTTTGATGTCGCTGTTTTTGAATTATCTTTTATTATATTAGTTAATGATATAGCTGTTGTGTACTCGGGCACGGCCGACTGTGAACATGGTTTTCTAGAGTAATTATAGTCAAATACTGTTTCTTTTGTTACTTGCCAGTTCATGCTATAGATAAAACCGTAATTACAACAATAAAGTTCTCTTATAACATTGTGGAAAATTATTTACGGCTTATTCTTTTGAATCCTTATCCAGGTTTTCAACTATATACGAATAAAGAACAAATGAGAACATTTGCTCAAGTTTTTTAGATGAAGACTACGTATTTTTTTATCTGCATCTTTGGTGTAGTGGTTATCATGTACGGCTACAGATGCAGAGGTCCTGGGTTCGAGTCCTGGCTCAGGCCTTGTCCTGACTTGACTATACTTGTATAGTTAGTTTTTCTGTTAAGAAATTCTCAGTAGTTGCTCGGAGTTGGGAAGTTGGTGGTGTTAATCACCGTACCTAAAAGGGCACGTAAAGCCACTCCGATCCTGCGCCTTAACTCTCACTAGTAAGTCGAAGTATCGTCCCAGGAAAACATTAATATTTTAACAGAGATTTCGACTTAAATTTTTTGTCATCATAAGCTTTTAATTTAGAGACGATAGGAAGATAAGAAAAACAACAGTACCAGTGAAAGAAATAAATGTACTTTACACTTGTAAACGGAATGAATTTCCATATTTAGAAAAAAATTTAAAAAACAGATGTCCAATTTACTATTACATATACAAGCTTGCAGCAAATACGATGTCGCGTTTGAGTAGTTTTATGGCGTCACTAAATTTGTTCTCCAGATCTGTATTGCCGATGTTCTTGGCGGCCTGGCAGAGCTGCCGCAGGACTTCTTCTAGGCGACGCATACACCTGATAATGGAACCTGGAATACATATTAACAAACATTACAAAATCATTTCGAAATCATTTTTCGATGCTGTAAAGGTTGAAAAGGTAATGGTAACCACTGTAACACGCTCGCTTGGGAAACCGAATGAAGCGGGTTCAAATCCCGGGTCTCGCACCTCTGATATTTCGTTGTGCGAATCATTTCCAACATGATTATTCCAACTCCAAAAACAACCGCCATGAACATTTAATCACCACTCTATTGTATATTAAAGGTTTTTAAAATAATGCAACTAAAAAAATAAACAGTTTAATTAAATAATATTCCATTGGATAAAAAATTTACATTTATACTGAGTCAGCCTTTCATTGTATTAAAAGCAATATGAAATGAAACGAAAATAAACTTTATTCAATTAACCATAAACAAGTACTTTTAAATTATCAGTATACCGGACGACTGTGGTATCGAATATCTATAGATAACCACTTGTAGTAAGATTGCAGAGGCTTATGCCCAACGGTGGGCGACCACATGCTAAACAAGAAGAAGATATCAATATACTATAACACTATCTATACTAATATTATAATGAAGAAAGATTTGTATTTTTATATGTTTGTAACAATCAAATACTACTGGACCGATTTAGATGAAATATGGTAAGATATCCCTCCCAACGTCTCAAACTATTTAGTGTGAGACCTTGGGAAGATTTGGGATATTTTTTATTCAGGAAAACATCCTTTAAGGGGGTGAAAATGGGGATGAAAATTTCTATGGGTAATCAATCTAGGGACAAACCCGAGCGAAGCGAGGGTGAGTCGTAGTAACTATAGTACGTAGTAACTATAAAAAATCAAATAACCTTCGAAGACATCAGTCATCTTGCATATCTGCAGGAAGGAGGCGCCCTTTGCCCACGCGAGCACGACGTCCATCAGCGTGCACTTGAACTTGCCGACGTACTCGTCCTCGTCCAGGTCCATCTTCGCGTCTATCGACACTTTGGCTATGCGACGCGCGTATTCCTGCGATAAACATTTTTTTTTAATGATGGGACATTAACACACAACACAATCTAGTTCCTACGAGGCTTGTATTATGGATACCAGATAGTTGATACGCTACACATATATAACTTTAAATATATATGTACATATTATAAATATAAACATCCATGGTTAGAGTACAAACATTCGTACTCATCACACAAATGAATGCCCCCAGCGGGACTCGAACTCGCGACCGCTGGCACAGCAACTACTATAAACTAAGCTAAACGTGTCGTAAAATCACTTAGTGATTATTAAAACAAAATCTATACATATAAAGAAAATTGAAGCGTTTGTCTGTGACTTCAAAATAACTGTGTTTTCTCAAGTGCATAGTTATTTATATGATACTAGGACCTAAACAACCCTTTTTTTTAAAATTGGTTTATATGTGTGTATTCCTTGTCCGGGGTAATCTTTAGGACAGCTCAATCAATTGTAATGAGACTTTCACTGAAAAATAGAGGAGTTTGTAAGGCAACATACTCGTATAAGGTATGTTTTATTCAGGAAATATTTAGAATTCGTATTTGAGTATAATGCTGTTCATTCACATTTAATGTTATCTAATGTTCGCGTTATTTATTAATTACTATGTGCTAAAATCGCATGTCTATTATTCTTGTAAAGCTGTAAGACCAAATCTGTTCAAATAAATAAAATTGAAGTGTCTGTTTGTAATATCAAAATAATAGCTTTTTACTAAATGTATATGAAATAATATAGAATACTTATAAGAAAAACACAATTTTAAAAATTTTTATCTGTCTGTTTGTTCTGGTTATCTCCGAAACGGCTGAACCGATTGGAAGGGACTTTCACTGGAAAATTGCTGATGTTATAAGGTGTAACTTACGCTACTTTTATTTTAGAAAAAGAATTAGGGTCCCGCTCAAAAAAAAACTTAAAACGTACCTAGGGACATATCCGGTCGAAGAAAGGGTAAGTCGCTAGTCTATACTAATATTATAAAGAGGTAAAGTTTGTGAGTTTGTGACGCTGTAGAGGGTAATCTCTGGATCTACAAAACCGATCTAGTTGAAATTTAGTAATAAGATAGTTTGAGACCCTGGGAAGGGCATAGGAAATTTTTTATGCCATCATCCTATGAAATCATCCCTTAAGGGGGTGAAAATGGGGATGAAAGTTTGTATGGGGAATCGAGTGTAAGTGGCTAGTAAATAAATAAATAACAATTAGTACCTGCAGCTGGCGCAGCACGCCGCGCAGCTCGTCGCCGGTGGCGGAGGCCTGCGAGGAGTTCTCGTCGCACACGAAGCAGCTGACGAGCGCGGCGCTCTGCTCGGCGCTCAGCGCGTTGAACACGCCGTTGAAGATCAGCTCCGTGAGCAGGAGCTCGTCCGCACTGCGCAAGCGTGCGGGCATTCGATTATCTTAGTCATTATTGTAGTTACAAAACTAAATAGATGTATCCACAGATACTGTCCTATTCAAATTTTAATTTTCTTGTTGATGATCAGCTCCGTGAGGAATTCGCATTCGCTTATATTAGTTATTAATGTTTGTACCTAAATAGATGGATCGACAGATATCGTCCTACCAATCACCAGGACCAGGTCCAGGACCAATCCAATTTTTAATTTTGTTTGTCTACGAGTTCATACAAACATTTGTCCTATAAAATTATGCTTTAAATTTTTCTGAAGAACGCTTTGAAAAAAAGATATTGGCCAAATCAGTTAAACTGTTCTAAAGAAATGTTAGTGTGTATGTGTGTGTGTGCTTATTAAAGAAAATATTTCATTTTTATTTATATAAATTATAGAAGATACATCAACTTCGAATTTATTCCAAAATAATTATTCCATCTAAATACTCGACAAGACAAATTTGAATAAAATTGAGTAGTTATGCAGTATCTTTAGTATCTACCATCTAGAATGTTTCAACGTGAAGGAGTAACAAAAACAAAAACACATACACACGCACACACAAATACACTCACACACGCACACATTCAAATATACACATATGCACCCGCAAATATGCGCTCGCATGCACGCACATACATACACAGAAACTTTCGCATATATAGTAGTCCGATAGCAGTTATCAAATAAACTAATCAAAAATATTCTTTGTTATTACAAACATTACTAACCTACTCAACTCACAAGCGATCCTGCCTTTCAACTCGATAACGTCAGCGAGCGTGCAATATCCGAGTCGCCGGAGCACACGTTTTCTTTTCTTTAATTCGTCCATTTGTAATATACTTTTTGCTTTCTTTAGTTCAGATTTAACTTGTGTTAGCTCTTCGTATACTTCTTGTTTCTTCTCGTACGCTGCTGTGAGGGCGCCACGGTTTTTATCTTTATGCAATGGATGAGCGTATAACCTGCGATACATAAATAACATACAAACTATGTAATGTAAGTTAATTAGTAAAAGAGAACACTAGTGAGTACGATTAGAGTATGTGTTTGAAGACTTTTCGTGTCAAATATATATTAATAATAAAAAATACACATTTAATCTAACAGGTAAATAAAATTGATGTGTCTGTTTGTAATTTCAATACGACGGCTTTTTTATAAATGCAAAAAAAATGTACTTATAAGAAAAACACATTTTTTTTAACTTTTTTTTTGTGTCTGTCTGATTGTTCCAGTAAATCTAAGAAACGGCTGGACCAATTTTGAAGGAACTTTCACTGTAGGATAGCTAACGTTATAAGTAGTAACTTAGGCAAATTTTATTTTAGAAAAAGAATTAAAGTAACGCTCAAAAAAATTAAAACGCACTGGGCACTTAGAGACGTACCCGAGCGAAGCGAACGTAAGTATGTAATAATAAGAGTTACTCACCTCTCTTCCAATATTTTGATCCTATCCACACACTCTTTGAACACTGGATCTTCAATTTTCATATCTTTTATTGGATTTAGTAAAGGCGGTCCTTCTGGGAAACGTTTTTTAACTTCACCAATGGTTTTGAGAACGGATTTACGGTTGTCAGCCGGTCGAAGGTCTTTGGGATAGTATACACGGAGAGAACTGATCTGGTATATAAGTGTATGAAGCACCGGTACCACTTCTACATCTCCTGCCTACAACAAATAATTAATTAATGAAGAATTTCATCTTATTGTTAACTTTAATTATATACACAAAGCAAGCTTTTTTTAACTACTGCCAACAAACCTGTATACTAGTGCTGTTATTGTATACTATTTAGTCAGTATTAAATGGTTACTAAACTAAGCTATATATTTGATGTACACAAATAATGAAAATGAAATATTGCTACCTTATTATTACATTTAGAATGAAAAAAATCAATCGCAATCAATTTAGCTAGTCTCGAGTGCAGACAAACGAGCAGACAGAAACCTTCATGGCAGATAAATTTTAAAAGTAAAAATAATTTAACATTCATTCCATTATAATGTTGGTATATTAATAATAAGGCAATAATAAGCCCAGCGATAACGCACTCTAACGACAGCGATCTTGGAAAATCGAGTGAAGCGGGTTCAAATCCCAGGTCTCGCACCTCCGATATTTTCGTATCGCGATGAAACCTGCATGTCTGAGAGAACTTAGCAAGTTTTCAAAAACATCAAACGGCTCAGTCCGCCAGCCCGCACTTGGCCAGCGTGATGGACTACGGCCTGATCCCTCTCGTACTGAAGGGAGGCCCGTGCCCAGCAGTGGAACGTTAAAAATGGCCGAATACATACATATTAATAACATAACGTACCTCTCCAGGCGGACACGGTGGGTTGGTTTCTGTGTCACCTTTGCCCTTTTTGACGTGTAAAAGAATGTCAACAATTATAACAGTTTCAGCCGACAGCGGGTTTTCCGCTTGTTTTTTGCCTTTGCCAGTCTTGTGTCTAAAGTTCACTATAATGCCCCAGTCATATTCAAACTTTTCAGTTTTTACCTGGAAAAATGATATTTTTGTTTCAAATTCTAAATTATATATTATACACAGCATATTACATTCACTACAATTTCCTCAACGTAAAACTTAAAAAATCTGAATGAATAGAATATGGATGGTCTTAAACCATGCTCTTGCTTAAATTAACTCATTTATCTAGCTTAAATTAAATCATAGTAAATTATAGATTCAAAAAATTTAAAAAATGTATTCTCGTTTAAAACAAAATTTCATTTTTTTTTTGTATTTTTTTATTTTTTCTTTGTTCTTCTGCTTTTTATTTGTATTAGTTATAAATGGAAACGTTATTGGTTTATGTGTGATCTTATTATTATTTATTATTTCTGTAATATTACTGTTTGTTTTCCTAATAAAATAAAATCGAATAAATGAATATTAGGAAGTCTTATCACTCTAATATCACTGTATTTGAGTTCAAATCTTATTCCAAGATTTCATTAAATAGTCACAAGTGAGACTAACAAAAAATTTATCTAATACTAGTGACTCACTCTCGTTCCGCTCGGGTTCGTCCCTAGTTACGTTTTAACGTTTATTATAGATTTCTCAGATATGACATATTTTCCCGCAGTAAAAAGCATCCTATATCATATATGTTGACCCGGATAGCCAGCTATCATCATACCAAATTTTATCAAAATCTGCCCAGTAGTTTTCTCGTGATGCGTTTCCAGACAGACAGAAAGACAAAAAATCTAGAAACTATTAATGTACAGATTCGGTTCAGTTAGAACTTTATTTTAAATATAAATAATAATAATAAAATATAAACCTTAACAAGTCTACCGGGTTGTAAGAACGGCTTCAGGTACTCCGGACGGGTGATGAAGGACCTGAACTGAGCCCCGAGGAGGTCTAGTTGGGACCTGACGGTGCAATACGACGCTATCGAGTGCTCTTCTTCTATAGTTAGTCTATCATATTCTTTCAGCTTCGCTTTCACTTCTATGAGGTAAAATAAAATATTTCTCTTTATAATTTACATTACTAGTTTTTGCCGTTGCTCCACTTGAATAATAATTAAGTAATAAATAAATTTGTTGGGCACACACAGCGCCATTTAGTTTCATGGTAAGCTACAAGGCTTGTGTTATGGATACCAGATAGTGATACACTACACATATATAATTTTTAAATACAGACATATTATAAATATAAACACCCATGACTCGAGTACAAACATTCGTGCTCATCCCCCATGAATGCCCACAGCGGGATTGGAACCTGCAAGCCCACACAGTAAGCAAGTAGGCTCATTACAAATTGAGCCAAACTTGTCATCATCATACATGGATAAAAAGGAATATACAGAATGAAAAAAGTTTATGTCACAATAACTGGGCGAGTAGTGAACTAAAGTTAAGGCGGAGTAAAGCTCTGCTCGGCGTTTTTCGCACAAGATTTAAAAATTGCGTTTTTTTTTCAGAAAAAACACCTATATAGATAAACTTAAAAAGCAAAACCTTATCTAAATACATAATTTTAGCCTAATAGTTAAAGCCGTTTCGGAGATACACAAAATAAATTTATCTATATAGAAGAACTGCTCATTTAATATTACAAGATACTAGCGGCTCACCCTCGCTTCGCTCGAATTCGTCCCTAGATACGTTTTAACGATTAGTATGGAATAGATAGTCTATATACTCATATCATATGATATATGAGCCTTCCTAAATTAAGGGGCTATTTAATGCGAAAATAATTTTTCAAATCGGTTTAGTGGTTCCTGACATTAGCCCAATCGATCAATCAATCGGTCAACCGGGCGGTCAATCAGTCGGTAGATCAATCGGTCGATCAAGAGCAGAGACTACGTCTCGAGCGGGATCGAATACCATCCTGACATTCATTGGAGATACGTGGCTTAGAAACGTCGATTGATCATAGTGGATCATGGAGAGTTAGTTATACTTTGATATTGAATGTGAAAGTCTGATCGGTGACTATGAACCTGCTGCTCCGCTAAATGATTAGAATAACCGTTTCAAATGTTTGTCAACATTGTGATTTCCCTGATTAAATTGTAATTGAGCAAAGAGAATTCTTCATTATTAGAGCCCTGATCGTTATCAGTGGGCGTTCCCACAAGATTAGCAGCCACTAAAGATTATGTCGGTAGTATATGTATAACACGATTTATATATATGTAGATTAAAGATTATGTAGCACATTAATATATGATTTAAATTATTTTTATTCTGAATTTAACTTAAATTCGTTGAATGTGAAGAAGTAATAAAAATACTCACTCTGTCAAAAACTTTAACATTTATAATTTCAGTGTGGTTATGTAAAACATCAGATGCAATATTATAAATGTAGTATACAATAGCGTCACTTACTATCTATAAGATCTGGTATGGCCGCTTGGTTTTGGAACTGGAAGAAGCTCCTCTCTAACATGTACTCTGGATTGATTTCTTCCACTCGTAGTAAATTTAACACCTAAAAAATACATTTAAAGTTTTAAACATAATATAATAATTAGTGACTAATAATAATAACATTCCCAAACTATATAAAAAAATCGTTGTGTATGTATGTTCCCTATGGACTCCAAAACGGCTGGAGCGATTTTGATGAAAATTTCAGGCTATCTTTAGATTAGCCCAATAAATGATCCTGTGAAAATTGGTAATCATTGGAAGTTTAAACGCGGGCGAAGTAACGGCTACTGCTTGTATGTAATATAAATATCCCACCATGTTATAAGTAAGGTGGAATGCAGAGTTGATGGGGTCGGCTTTTCCCTGCACCATGCCCTTCACCACGGCGGGGGTCACCTTCTGGTCGATCATCAGTATGACGATGCCCTTGTCGTCCAGCCCGCGCCGACCCGCGCGCCCCGACATTTGTATGTACTCTCCTGACGTGATCTGAGGAATGACAAAATTTATATATAGATCTAGCGACTCACCCTCTCTTCGTTTCGGGTTGTCCCTAGACAATCACAAATTATGCCACAGGAACCGTACATTTTTCGGAATGATATGTATATATCCTATAGCCGTCCTCAATAAACGGGCTATCTAATGCAAAAAAATTTCAAATCGGATTAGTAGTTGCAGAGATTATCGTTATCAAACAAACAAAAAAAAACTGCCTGTTTGTAATATTAGTATAGATATAAATCGAGTATCATACTCACTTAACGTATAAGCACGTGTTTCTATTCTATGTACATTGTACATATGTCTGGTATAATAATTTAAGGGAATATTCTCATATTTTTTTTAATAAGAAGCTTTTTTAACGTTTTCTTATTTATATTCTAAAGGTAGAAAAAAAATAGTTAATGAAAAGAATTATAAAAATATACTTACAAAACGAAAATCTTTGCCGTCGAACTTTTGGCAGTTGGTAAAAACTACAGTTCTAGCCGGCATGTTTAAACCCATGGCGAAAGTTTCAGTTGCGAATAGAGCCTAAAATAAATAAGTTGAAAAGTAATGTAAAGCCGTATGTACATATAAGTCGCAGGGAAATAGTAAGACCCGGTAAATTGTTATTTCACCAGTGAAACTACAATTACCGGGAATATTGTCGCCTCCTTTTCTTACAATATCACGGGTCAATTTTAGATAAATTGTAATTTCCCTAAGCACATACAGTGAAATTGTGATTCGGCCACCGATTGGTCAGTTTTAAACATCACAAAAAAAATTACCAGTGAAATTACAATTTTCTTGCGACATATACACATAGACAAAAAATGTTAGAACATTCTGTGGAATAAACATTTTTCTATTAATAATAAGTGTTAGAAATTATATAACATAAATTTTTGTATTCTTACAGGAACCAAAACACATGCAAAAAATTTGATTTGAACTTTAAATTAATATGAGAAACTTATTTCGATAGTTGTTTCTATATCACTTCAAAGTTAGTGTTTTTCTTGGCAAGTCTTATTTTAGATTTATTTGAGATTTCTGTAATAAAATGTTTCAAAGTGTTACCTTAATAAGTCCCAAGCCGAACAATATTTCAATAGTTTCTTTCAGTATAGGCAACAGGCCACCATGATGTATGCCAATGCCTCGCCTCAGAAGTGGTATTACGTTTTCCACTTGTGGTAGTTTCCTGTCTTCTTCAGAAAGCACGTCCATTGCGTTGTTAAACACTTCATCTACTAATTTTTTTTCTTCAACTAAAATAAAATTTTTGAATATTTTGAAAAGGAATACAATTTTAATTTTATTTTTAAATATTTTCTTTGTAAACTAATTTATTTTTGTAATTAGGAAGAGTAAGACAAAAAGCCCACTCTGTATTGCAAAATAAGGTGATCCACAATTTAATAAAATATATCATAAGCACGCATAAAAAAAAATTTATTGAGTGTTAGTATAAAGCAATATATTATACAGCAAAAAAACTTAAAATAGAATTTCTGTTTAAAACTTTTTTTAAGTTTTACTGATAGAAGATTAAACCAAGAATGACATACCTACACTTATACTTAGATTCAAAGAATGCAAACATACTTGTATTAAAGTCCAGTTTGGCCATTTGCATAGCATACACCTCACAGTCCTTCTTACTGAAGCTGAAAATAATGACTGGAGCAAAATTTCTTTCCATGATCATTTTGACAATATTGAAAATATTGGTGTTATTGTTCCCCCGCGGGCCGCCCTTGCGCCCGCGCTGGTCGCCCTTGCCCGCCTCCCCCGCGTTACTTAGCACCGTCATTGCCGTGTTAAAGTTATCTTCTTTGAATTGACCCTGTGAAAAAATATTTCCATTATTTTAATTCCTCCACTCAGTCTTCATTATTTTCTTCGTCCACTCATTGATAGTGCATAAGTTTTTGCTAAAGAGTTTTTACTTTAGAATGAGCACTCTATATGAGATCAAATGCCATGTTCAAAATGGCAACTCCTACCTATGCATAAATTCTTAATTTTATATCAACTTCTGTTTCTATATTTCTGAATACAATAAGACTACAAAAATTACCTTCTCATCAACAACCAAATGTATGCCGTCTCCGCCAGCCGGGAATATATAATGCTGGAGTGGAGTCGGTCTGTACTCAGTGTACACCACGTGGCAAGGCTGTGAGTGCAAACGGCAAACCCACTCCGCAAACTGCCTTGCATTGGGTATTGTAGCTGACAGGAACACGTAGTGCACATTATCGGGTAAGAGGATTAGAGTTTCTAGAAAGGATGATTTATTAACATATATGGAAAATATTAATACCAATACAATATTATATAAATATGAAACATTGTATATGAGTGTATGTTTGTAACGACTTCACTCTATAATGGAGATATTTAGTTTTGAATTAATTTAGTTTATACGTATAATGTATATATTTGAAAATGTTGGTAATTTTGGAGACTATTAGACGACTATAGGCACAGCAGTAACTCCAATGTTAATAATATGGGCATGTTTCCAAAGTGAAATCAATATTACAAGTGAAACCACAAATACCAATATGTATGCTTTTCTTAGTGAGTATGTTACCTTCCCAAACCACACCCCTCTCTTTGTCTCTCATGTAGTGAATCTCATCAAATACAACCCATCCTACTTCTCTCATTATTTCAGATCCTCTATACAACATATTCCTCAAAATCTGAAAAAAGGTATTATATTAGAAACTCATCACCAGACGTTTGATTTAATGTAGTATTAAGAAAAATTCAATGTCCACTCATCGCAAGAAATATATTATTGTAAAAAAATACACTTTTCTTACAAAACATATGCGTATATTAAAGATACATATAATAACAATATTAAGTTAATACTAGGAGGATCAGGCAATAGTCATTGGCATTTGACATGACATGACTTTCAAAAAACTAGTTACTCTTAGTGTTTTCATTCACTACAATAGTGAATGGTAACATGAAAAAACAAGATTCTTAAATAAAAATCTCTGTGTGAAATCCTAGATTTAAATTCACTTTATTTGGCCTTCCAACCTTTTACATCCACTTTTCATTTTAAACTGAATGACATATTTAAAATTATTTTGTAAGTACATAATTTTAATAACGTTTGTGTGCTATTACCTCTGTGGTCATAATTAAACAAGATGCTGATGGATTGATAGTGACATCTCCAGTAATAAGACCGACATCATGGAACTCTTCTGAGAACTCCCTGTACTTCTGATTAGAGAGAGCTTTAATAGGTGTTGTATAAATTACTCTCTGTTTATTTTTTAGTGATAATGCTATGGCATATCTAAAAAGTAATACATATGAACATAAATAGGTTACTTTGTAATAAAATTTTGGCAAAATAAAATCTACATAATAACAAAATATTTAACTGTTTGCTATTTTGTAACATGTATCTTATCCTATTTAACTTGTAGTATCATTTCAATTTTCATTTATCATTTAATCATAACATGTGTAAATTGTTTTTTATTTTCCTTATGAAAAAAGCCTACAAAAATATAACTAGCAATGGCAAATTTAGTGTATATAGTACCAATATTACTTTCATACAAGAAAACTGTCATAGAGAATACTGTCTGGCAATAAAATTTAAATATAAGAATATAATTTTGATAGATGTCGGTAAAAAAATAAATGTGTCAGGTTGTGTTAATAAATTGTAAATTGAAATAAATAAAACTATGCTTCTTTAAAAGGGACTTTATTAAAGATAACTCCACTGCGATAAAACTACTCTCTATAAAAGGTTATGGGCCGTGCGTAAACGCGAGAAATCGTTTATTGAAAAAGAGAAAGATGAGCCATCATGTGCACATAGAGCCATTAAAAAGAGAAAATTACGACACATGGAGAATTCATGCAAAAGCTCTGTTGTTGAAACTTGGTCTTTGGAACTATGTTTCTAATAAAATTAAGAAGCCAATAAGCGAAGGCGACGAACTGAGCAAATATATAGAAAAAGATGGGTTAGCATTAGCTGAATTATTTCTTATTATATCTCCAAGCGAACTAAAACAAGTAAAAAATTGTCACACAAGTAAAGAAGTCTGGGATACGCTTGAAAATATATATAATAGTAAAGGTCCCGCTAGAAAAGCAACCCTGTTAAAAGAATTGATATTAAGAAAAATGAAAGACAATGACAGCATAGTTGATCATTTAAACAAATTTATGGATATTGTCGATAAACTAGCCGACATGGATATAATAATTAATAAAGATTTATTAAGTATAATGCTGCTATATAGTTTACCACAATCTTTTGAAAATTTTCGCATAGCCATAGAATCTAGAGATGATTTACAAAATCCAGATAGCCTGAAAATAAAAATCATTGAGGAAGCTGAAGCACGAAAAAATATGGCTACTCCAACTGATGGGAACTCAGAGCAAGAGGTACTGTACAGCAAGCAGCAAAGAAAAAATAAGAAATATATTACTGAATGCTACAAATGTCATAAAAAGGGTCATAAAGCGAATGAATGCTGGTCAAAAGTGAACAAAACTAAAAGCAGTGCGAATTATTCCATAGAAACATGTCTAAATGCTAATAATAATAAAGAAAAAGCCAGAAAATGGTGTCTTGATAGTGGATGCACGTCACATATGACTCATGAATTGGAAAGATTCCATAATGTAGAAAAAGAAGACTATAAAACTTATAAGGTTAGCTTCAGAGAACTGTACAGCACAAATTGAAGGTCGAGGTTCAGTGAAACTGAACATAAAGGAAATACCTGGTCTACAACTAGATGAAGCCTTGTATGTACCGTCGCTGACTACAAATCTTATGTCAGTAGGAAAAATGACAGATAAAGGTGCAACAGTTTTATTTAAGAAGCAACAAGCAAGCGTAATGCGAAATGGTCAAATTCTGTTAAAAGCAGAAAGAAATGAAGATGGTTTATACTACGTTAAAGAAAATTTAGAAGAGAAATCCAACTATTGTGGAACAAATAAAATGCAACTATGGCATAGAAAACTAGCACACTTTAATGAAAGGCAAATGAGAATAGCTCTTGATAAGAAAAGTATGGAAGGCTTAGAATTTAATAAATCTGATACAGTTAGAGATTGTGTAGTCTGTGCTAAAGGTAAGGCAAAGAAACTACCGTTTAATACATGTAAAAATGAGCAACGGACTAATCATAGATTAGAAATTGTACATACTGATGTATGTGGTCCCATGAGACAGCCATCTAAGGGAGGTTCAAAATATTTCATCACATTCACAGATGATAATTCGAGATATACACGAGTATATACAATGAAAACTAAAGATGAAGCCCTATCAAAATTTATAGAATTTAAAAACGAGGCTGAACGATTTACGAAAAATAAAATAATATATTTACAAAGTGATAATGGGACAGAGTATATAAACAAAAGATTTGATAATTACTTAAAAGACAAAGGTATCAAGAGGAGACTTTCCGCACCATATACGCCAGAACAAAATGGATTAGCAGAAAGAAAAAATAGAACATTGCTTGATAAAGCTAGATGCATGCTGATAGACGCTAATATGAAAGAAGATTTTTGGGCTGAAGCAATTAGTACAGCTAACTACTTGGCGAATCGAAGTCCTTGCAGCAGCATTGATAATGCGACTCCGTTTGAAAAATGGGTAAAGAAAGTACCATCTGTGAGGCATTTTCACATATTTGGGGCTAAAGCATTCGTATTAAATAAAGGAAAGAAAAATGGAAAATTTAAAGCCAGAGCAACAGCTGGAATTTTCATCGGATATTCCGAAAATCATAAGGCGTACCGGATATTCAACCCGAAAACAGACAAGGTGATAATCAGCAGAGATGTTAAAGTATTAGATAAAATGTTTTATGAGAACGAGATGAAAGAAGAAGTAAATCAAAAAGAAATTGATAAAAAGGAAATAGAAGTTATATTTTTTCCAGAAGAACATAATGAAGAAAACAATGATAAATTAATAGAAAATGAAGGAAATGGGTCAGAACATGATTTTAACAATGATGAATTATTCCTAGATGCAACTACAGAAATAGACGAAATAAATAATGACATGTGTACAGATAATGAAGTCGAAGCAACGACTAATAGTATAAAAAGACAGAGAAAACCACCAGCATGGCATCAAGATTATGAGATGGATGCTGAGCAATCATTCCTCTGTGAAATAGATGAAAACAGTGATGAATGGGAAGATGCAATAATAAACGAGATAGAATCTCATCTTAAAAACAATACTTGGACAGTTGTACACAAGAACGAAAGCAAAAATTTAATAGATAATAAAATGATTTTGAAATATAAATATAATGCACTAGGAGAAATAGATAGACGAAAGGCACGACTTGTAGCGCGTGGATTTAATCAGAAAGAAGGTATTGATTACACAGAAACATTTGCACCTGTTGCAAAAATGAGTACTATTAGGCTACTCATTGCACATGCGATTGAAAATGACATGAAGTTATCCCAACTAGATGTGTGTACTGCATTTTTAAACGGCGATATAGACGAACAAATTTACATGAAGATGCCGAAAAATTTGGATAAATACTTAAAAATGATAATAGCAAATGGAAAAGATAAAGAATTAATAAGAAAAACAAAAGAAATGCTATTAGATATAAATAGATATAAAAATAATGGGATATGTAAATTAAATAAAGCCATTTATGGGTTGAAACAAGCAGGACGACAATGGTTCTTGAAGTTACATAATAAATTGATGGAAATCGGATTTAAGAACTCTACAGCAGATCCTTGCTTATATATTTTAGAAAAAGAAAGTGAAAAGCTATTAGCAAACATTTATGTGGACGATTTAATACTGGCATATAAATCAGAAAATTTGTTAAAAGAGGTCAAAATGAAATTACAAAAAGCTTTTCAATTAAGAGATATGGGTTCACTACATCATTGCCTTGGCATACAATTCACCCATGTAGGGGGAGAAATGAGGTTGTCACAGACAAGTTATATTGAAAACTTAATAGAAAAATTTAACATGGGCGAATGTAAGCCGGTTTCAACGCCGATGGAAACAGGTTTAAAATTGGAAAGAGCACAAAAAGAAGAAGAAATGGAGAACATACCATACCAGGCATTGATTGGTTCTTTGATGTATCTGGCTATAGCTACGAGACCAGATATTATGTTTACAGTAAGTTATTTGAGCCAATATAATACTTGTTTTGGAAAAACGCATTGGCAAGCAGCAAAAAGGGTTTTGCGTTATTTAAAAGGCACGAAGAATGTTAGCATCAGATACAGTAAAACAGGAAGTGCATTAGTAGGAATGGCTGATGCTGATTGGGCAGCGTGTACCATTGACCGTCGTTCATATACGGGTTACATCTTCAAGTATGGAGGTGGTCTAATAAGTTATGCTACAAAGAAGCAACGAGTTGTAGCTTTGTCAACTGCTGAGGCAGAATATATGGCAATGACTGAAGCCGCAAAGGAAGCGCTACACTTAAAACAGCTTTTGGAAGATATTGGAGTGACTACACAAGCTGTACCAATCTACAACGATAATTTAGCTGCACAGAAGTTAGCCAACAATTTAATGACTGGAAAAAGATCAAAGCATATAAGCATAAGGGAACACTTTATAAGAGACTGTGTCCAAAAGAAACTAATAACAATCCATTATAAGGACACAGACAATATGGAGGCAGATCTTTTAACAAAGGCCTTAACCCAGCCAAGGTTAATAAAACTGCTGAAGATGATAAGGGTCACTCAGACCTGAGGTGACACCCCAAGATCTTCGTGAGGGGGAGTGTCATAGAGAATACTGTCTGGCAATAAAATTTAAATATAAGAATATAATTTTGATAGATATCGGTAAAAAAATAAATGTGTCAGGTTGTGTTAATAAATTGTAAATTGAAATAAATAAAACTATGCTTATTTAAAAGGGACTTTATTAAAGATAACTCCACTGCGATAAAACTACTCTCTATAAAAAAAACAAATACTCACTCAGCTACAACAGTCTTCCCGGCAGATGTGTGAGCAGATACCAATACTGATTGCAAGTTATCAATACACATAATAGCTTCTTTTTGAAAAGGGTCAAGTATGAAACTGTATTGCTTGGCAGGTTCTGAGGTAATAGGCAAAAGTGGAGCATAGTCATGATTTGGAGGTAATGCAACCTCATGTGTGCAACCTTCATGTGTTTCTAAAGTATGTATTACTATTCTTGAACCTAGAATATCTAAACTGAAAAAAAGGTTATTTGAAAATTGAAATTGGAATGGTAATTACTTTATGTCTCTTAAATTGAATTTATCATAATATGTAGTAAAACACTCACTTTATATCGCTTATAAGATCTACGTCTTCTTCATCTGGCCTAGGTTTCTTAGATGTATCTTCGTATTCGACTTCCTCGTGAGGACGTTTACTACTAGTAGAAGGCTTTTTCTCAGGTGTCCTTAGGTAAAAAAAAATATAAAATTATAGTTACAATCAACACTAAATCAAGTAACTACTGGAGGTTAGAAAATTCTTACGATTTCTCTTCATCTTTAACGACATTTGGTAATTGAACAGAACCTTCATTCTGAGTTGATTCTTCAAAACAATCAAATAAACTATTTATATCAGCCATAACTGCAGTGTTGTTTAAAATATCGGCATATTATTTAATAATAATATGGGTTCGCGATTTATTTCGCATGTCAAACCACAGCACAGAACACAAATACTCCTAACGGAGAACCACAGACCACAGACCAGAAACAACAAGATGTCAAACAGTCAAGCATGTCCACAGATTAGACAAGAACCTATGTTAAGTCCACAGTTTAAATTGTTAATATTTAATTTTTGTTTTTACTAATTTGTTCTTGAGAACCTTGTTATAGTATATATATGCTATAGAGCGCGTGTATCGCTCATTGTCCACTATGCGAACCTACCCTACCCCAGCCTGCAAATTTATTATATTCGCAATGAAAAAAATACTAATTGATAGATTTTTAATAGCTCAATTCAACTACGTAGCCCTTCCAAATTGCTCACCATTAATTATAAAATTAAAAATCAATGAAGTCCTTGAAAAAAAAATTCATTTATCCGTATATTCAAATTTCTATATCTTTTGATATATACAATATTTTAAATTGCTCAAAGTTCTAAAATACTGCTCAAGTTGCATTTGTAATTGCTCAAGTAGAGTTCTCACCAGCTCCACTTTCCTTAATTATTAAATAAATATAAATAGTTTGAATAAATTTAACGTATAGATAGGTGAGTGCTGCGCATGCGCGCAAACAGTAACGCGAGTCGCAAGGCAAAAAAATCAAGTGTTTCATAACCTCATCATAGTGAAATGAAACTGTAATACTCCAAGCACAACATCATCTATTATCAGGCATTTTTATAGGGCATGATTTTCACGTGTTCAGGTATTTTGCGCATTGCAAACGAAACTAATTTGTTGAAATCAATTCTAGTCGGTTTTTAAAATTTAGATTTAAAAAAAATAGATTTAAATAAAATTTAAATTTGTATATTTAAAAATAAAAAAAGTTCCGTCTTGTATTGATGTTAATAACATTTCACTAATGATCCCTGTCATGGCTATTACCTTAATAGAATAAGCATTTGAACATAAGATTTTGTCTTAATTTATCTGTTGGTATTAATTTTCATTTATTGGTAGATTCCAGATCTGTTCTTTATGTTATAATATCTGAAGTGGAATCACGTAATGTGAACAATTCATAAATTCAATAAATTTAAAGAAATCCACCGAGAAACAGAATTAAGACGTTGAATTGGAACGATTGTCCAAGCCCGCCGAGGCCGACCGACAATGCGCGGTGCGCATGCGCACGCTCACTTAACCTACGTTACATTTATTACAACTATACTTTTAATTATTTAATAATCAGCGAAAGTGGAACTGGTAAAAACTCTACTTGAGCAATTACAAATGCAACTTGAGCAGTGTTTTAGAACTTTGAGCAATTTGAAATATTGTATACATCAAAAGATATAGGAGTTTGAATATACAGATAAATTAATTTTTTTTCAAAGACTTTATTGATTTTTAATTAAATAATTAAAGGTGAGCAATTTGAAAGGGCTACGTAGTTAAATTGAGCTATTGAAAATCTATCGATTAGTATTTTTTTCATTGCAAATATCATAAATTTGCAGGCTGGGGTAGGGTAGGTTTACAATTCTTGTTGTTTCTGGAGGTACCCTACCCCAGCCTGCAAATTTATGATATTTGCAATGAAAAAAATACTAATCGATAGATTTTCAATAGCTCAATTTAACTACGTAGCCCTTTCAAATGTTTTATTTGTCATCCATGACTGGAACCATTCATAGTCGCGCATCGCCAATTTGTTGTTCCTCGTGAGTCGTGAGGTCTATGACTTTATTTGTCATCCATGGTTTATGACAAATGACAACTGACATTAATGTACCGCCGAAGTGTTTTGAGTTTTTTTTATTCTTATAGCATATAAATTTTGCTTGTTTACGATTATACAAGAAATTTAAACATATTTGAAATGTAAACATGAACGTGTTTTAAAAAGCTATAAGTACTTTTTTTTGAAGAAATGGCTGAAATATTATCAGATACCGAAATTTCTGAAAACACAGGCCGCGTATGTATTATTCTGCTTTGAATAATATTTTATATTTGATATTCAAGATATTTGTAATTATGTTTACCTATTCTGAACATTTGTAATTATATTACAGCCTACAAGGCCTTCATTAACTCAGGTTAAAGCTGTAATAGATTTCATGCAAAAACACCCTGTTATGGCTCACAAAAAACTTAGGTATGGTATGAGTCATGAAAAATTTAAGAAACTTTGGATAGAACTATCTAACATGGCTAATTCTATGAATGGGGCAATGAAATCTACTAAGGGTTGGATAAAGGTAACAAAGAATAAATGTTAAGATTTAAATAAATTTAAATCAAAACTTTAATGTTTTTATTTATATTAGATTTTAACATAATATTTGTAATAAACAGTTCTGGTCAGACAAAAGAAGAAGTATAATGCTTAAGCAAAAGCAAATCAGTGAAGGAAAAATTAAGGATAAGCTTACTCCTTTGGAGCAAAAGATTTTAAGTATCTCTTCAAGTGACAAATCAACTAGTAAGTAAGAAATAAAAAACACTTATTTACATTGAAATTCATATACCAATAAATAATATTTAAAATGGGATCTTACATTATTATTAGAGACTAATTATTTAAACAGGAAGAAATAGGCTGAAACAAGATCCTTCTAATGGTGATAATGATTACCTTGATGATCTGTTCAATGGCAATGACGATGAAGTTGATCCTACTAGGTTACAACCTACAGATGCAGATGAGAAACACATGTCTGTTATGGAAAAAATGGTAAATTTGAAGTTCTACATATTCTAATAAGGTTTAAAACACTAAAATTAATACCTTATGTGTTATAATTTATAGTTAGAACTAGTATAGACTAGCAACTCACCCTTGCTTCGTTCAGGTTCGTCCCTAGGTTGCTTCCCCATACAAACTTTCCCTTTTTTTAGCCCCTTAAGGTATGATTCCAGGATAAAAAGTATCCTATGTCTTTTCCAGGGTCTCAAACTATCTTCTTACCAAATTTCATCTAAATGGGTTCAGTAGATTCAGAGATTACCCACTACAACCTCTATACAAGCACTTTTGAATCATCAATTTAATGTAAAGAGTGTCAGTGTAGACAGTCTGTGAGGAACTACCACCAGTTTACCACTGGCTCGGAATACAGTTCTACTGAGAAGTTGAGGAAAAATGTAACACTTGTTCTTTTAAATATATAGTTACATTTTAATTTATTTTTTTAATATAACATTATTGATAACATGCATATGATTGAATATATCTAAATTACACACATTTCCATCCACAAAAAACTTTGGATTTATATATTTAGAAAAAAGTTTAAATATATTACAGTATTCATGACCATAAAAAGCATTGCTTGATCTAAATCTTTATAGTTTTATAGAGTGTATCGATATATAGTAAGAAATTACGAAAATAAAAACACCAAATAATTATAGTTTTGAATTTACGTTAATTCAGTATGTACATGCATGGGTATTATGGTGGTAACACACATTATAAAGAATTTTCAACTTCAAAATATTTTTTTATAATTTATTGCCTTTTAAAGAATGACATATTGTATATGATATATAATGACATAAGCCTAATTTATGTTGTGGTTTGATTTAAGGCAGAAGTGATGGATCAGCAAGCAGTAGCCATGACACAAATGGCGCAGGCAACTTTAAACAATTCTAAAGCTATGGAAAGAATTGCAGACGCATCTCACAAGCAAGTTAGTCACTAGAATATATTAAGAAATCTAAAAATTTGTAGAAATATTTTGCTTTAATTTACTATTTTTAGTTTTGAAATTGAAATACTTAATAGTTGAAATACTTTGGGTTGAGATTATTCCAATGCTATTTACATTGGTATATTCAAGGTATGTTCCTAAAAGTGTTTATTTTTTGCATTTTCACTTGTGAATTTAAAATGCATATTTATATGCATTATTGAATAAATACATATTAAGAATAGCAGCCATTTACTGATTGATTTGCATTCGCAAAGTATATTTAAAAAAAGAACCAGTAAAATTCTAGGAATACAATTGGTTCTCAAATCTATTCCTACCCCAAATCGGTTATATTTTTGACATGATGATATACATATACAAATGGCGCAAAAGTAATGTCATTAGTTATAATGTGTTGATAAACACTAAGTAAATTGTCACGACATCACATAGTATTATAATAAAATAATTATTCATATTCCTTGAGTAAGCCGTAAGAATGACTGGTAATGCGCTCGCTTCGGAAACCGAGTGAAACGGGTTATGTTTGAAACATTTCCAACATGATCACCACTTGTGTTACGGTGAAGGAAAACATCGTGAGGAAATGAACACATGGAATGGGACACGTGAAGTCCGCAAACCTGCACTTGGCCAGCAGTGCATAATTAGTAAAGTTTACATTATTTATATAGGGGCCGTTCATAAAATACATCACACTAAAATCAAGTCTTTTTGACCTCCTCTCCCCCTCTATTGTCACGCTGTATCACACTTTCTGTGATCCCCCTAGAAATATTTCGTCACAAAAACTAATAGGATTAAGGATTAAGGCCGCTAGAGTCGCGCCACAGAGTTAGCGCTCATATCGAAAAATAATGAACGGCGAACGTCACGTTGCCGTAGACCCCCCCGTCCCCCCCTTGTCACATCTTGTCAAACTCAGCAAGACCTCCCCCTCCCCTCCCCTCACCCTCCCCCTCGTATGTGAACGTATTTTATGAACGGCCCCATATGTAAAATGTACATATTCTCTTTTTCAGGCTCTCGCTGTAGACAGGCTAGCTAACATATTTGAAACTATAAACACTTCAGTGTACGACGTAAGAAATGCAATAATGAGCATAGACTACACCTTGAAGAGATGTTATTCCACCACCGCTATGCAACAAAGACAAAATACAAATCTTTTCAGTTAGAAATACATACATTTGTACGTCTGATTTTTATAATATATTATTACGTCCATATGGAATAAACGAAAAATGTATATAATATAACTAGCATTGCCCGCGGCTCCGCCCGCGTTCAGATGACGAAAAACCAAATTCTTAGGTTTCACATATTAGTATGCTCTTACATTGCAGTTTTTCTATTTTTCCTCAGAAATCAGACATTTTTCTGTGGTAAAAAGTATCCTATATATATATCTGTGATGCGATAACAGACAGGCAGACAAAAATTCTAAAAACTATAGATTCGGCCTCTGTATCGATAATAATGTTTATTTCAATAAGTTTTTCCAAAAAATATCTAATGTACAGATTCGGCTTAGTTACAATTTTATTATATGTTTAGATTAATTCTGTAAAGGAAGAATAGGTATTGCATATTATTTTAACAGAGCTTCGAAGATGTGAAACTGAATTTATTTAGGTGCATGTTTCATTCTGTCTGTCTATCTGTAATGAGTGGTTATTGTAATTAATAATGAATCATTGTTTTTGAAGTGAAAACTTCCATAGGCAGGTTTGGATAGGCAGTAAATTCATGTAAATGGATTTATATTTTTTTAAGATTATTTTGTATTCAATACATTTTTATTATTTTTATTGAATCTAGATGGCGCTGTGTTTTCTTTTGAATTTGATGGATATTTATTTACCTACCAATAGGGCGGTGTTGTTGTGTTTTCCGCAAACAGTCATAATTAACTAAAATTATTTAATGATCAATCAATTATAAATAAAATATAAGATATATTCTCAGAACCTATGATTCAAATATCGATGATTAAACAGACACATTATTTTTTTAAGAAATGCAACAATAGCCTTGTAATATTTTCTGATGTATTATGAACTAGCGACTTAACCTCGCTTCGCCCTGGACACGTTTTTGTTTTTTTGAGCGGAACCCTATTTCTTTTTATAAAATAAAAGTAGCCTAAGTTACTTCTTATAGCATCAGCCAAATGTCAGTGAAAGTCCTGTCAAAATCAGTTCAGACGTTTTGGAGATTATCCGGAACAAACAGGCAGACAGACAGAGAAAATTTTAAAAAATCGTGTGTTTCTTATAGTGCCGGATATAATTTCATATGCATTTAGTAAAAAGTTGTTATTTCGACATTACGAACAAACACTTCAATTTTATTTATCTGTATAGATAAGTGTGTAAAAATATATAAGCACATGTATCTAGTATCTACTAACTATTGACTATAAATAACATGTCAATTTTACGTAAAAAAAAGAGATATTAAATCGTATATTATTATTTTTATCTCTATTAAAGTATTAATGTAGAAAATAATTATTATTATAGTATTAAAATATAATTTTACAAATGATCTCAAAATTGTAAAAGTATTCAAGTATTGCAAATAAATATACATTTTTCAATAAATAAACTTTTATTTTTCGTTTACCTTACAATGAAACGCCTAATGGCGTGTTATCTAATCGTTCCATACTGATATCACTTATCAGTTCTGACCGCACTGCTCCATTTCACAATGTGTCAGTATATTCGTGGGTTAACACAATAAATCATAATGCGATGCTTTAGTTTAGACAATGTTATTATATTTAATAACTTTTATAACGTTTGGGGTCTGCCTCGGTGCGTTGTGTCCGAAGCAATGTGACTGTGATATGGACAATGGGTTGAACAGGGCTTCATGTGTGGACCAGAACATTGTGAGTGTGGACGTGGGAGTGCCCAAGGAGGTGCAAGTGTACAGCTTGAGGAGGAATGTGATAAGCGAACTGGATAATTTTTGTTTTAAAGTAAGTAGGTATGATTGGTTGGTTTTTGTTGTGAATTTCCTTTAGATGCATATATTCAGCTGCTAATTTGCTTTGTGTTAATTGTTAGATGATTGTTTACATTTTCTTTACTTGCTATTTATTAGGAAGTCTCTACTATCTATAAAAATGCTATATACTATCGATAAAAATAGTACGTTGTATTTATTTAAGACGTATAATTTATAAAATATATACTTACTAACTATAATACGAGTATACTCATAGCCACACATTTATTGTGCGATATTTATTCATGTATACAATAAGCATTGAGGACGATAAAATTATAAGGGACAGACAGCATTACTAAAGTTATATACTTTTTTTTAATAAAATGATAATAATATTTTTGTCAAAGACCTCGCTTATTGGATTGCTATTAGTAATCATCACTTATTAGCAATCACCGTATAAATGGATACCTACTACGTATCTATAAAATGTAAACAATGATACATATGTATGTAGCCGCTAGCTTTAATATAAAAGACATACAATTATATTATAGATTTTTTTATAACGGTTAGTATGCAATAGATGGACTATATATTGTATAATTTATTTACATAGGTATGATGGTTGTATATGTACATATAAGGTGAGGGTTGTATCATAACGTGTTTTCCCGTGGGAATGACATAATCTCCCGCGGTAAAAAGTAGCCTATGTCACTCCCCAGCTATATATATATATATATATATATGTATATAGATTACAGATCTATATTATCCGGACCATCTTTTTCACTGTAATATATTTTTTATATAGTTTTACACCTTTGGTGTACCTACCTTCTTGCCTTGCAGATGTATTACTCTTACCTAATTGGATGACCTATTCGTTTTCGTTAAGTCCAGGTCTTAGTTAAAGTAACCCATGAGACTATCTAGCGTAGCTTTCTATAAACAATCTACAATACATATATCTTACATTCAAAATGTATTTTCTTAAATAAAATCTGTAAAATTAAAGTTCAAAACTTTTTTTTACGAAGTTGCAAAAGTGCGAAACCTTTCATAATTGATACTCTCGTATGTAAGAACAGAAAACTAGTAGCCTTCATTGAGATTATGCATGGCCCTTGACCATGTCAAGGTCTCGTTTTATTTTGTAGTTATTTTTATCAGAATTGATGATTAAGACTCACTAGCGCAGCTTTGGTTTATTTACCCACGAAGCAATTTGTATGGTGAAGTCACTACTATCTATTTAACTTAAAGATGCTATCAGTTAACGACGATTTGTAATTAAAATTCTCCTTCTAATGATAGTCCTAGTGATTTAAATTAGTAAATTAATAAGTAAATACTGTTATATACTTTTAAAAAAATGTTGTAAATTTCAGGAAATTGGGTACACAAATCTAAGAATACTAGATTTGTCATATAACCTTATCTTCTGGATTGGTTTGCACGCGTTCTCCGGCTTAAATGACCTGCTCAACTTGGACCTCAGCAACAACAGGTTACGGTTCATATCGTCCGACCTGTTCTGGGAAACTCCGGAACTAGAAATTTTAGACTTGTCGTCAAACGTTTTTGAGAAATTGAAGAATGAACCATTTATCATGCATACAAAATTACAGGTAAGATTTTGATATGGTATATAAATTTCTATTAAAAGCTAAAGAGTTAGATGCACTGATTTATGAAAAATACCTGTATTATATGTTAAAATATGACTCGTCTCCTGTTTCTTATTTACTGCTGTAGATTATTAATATTATTAAGGCCAAATGTGTATATTATATATTATGCTAAGTAGAAATATTGAATTAATTGATAGTAACTTAAAGAAAACTAAGAGGTTCTTCCTCATAACCTCTTTTTCTTAATTTCGGGAAATATATTTACGCTTACCACCTGCATACATATAGGTGGTTATGTGGGACTCACACAATGCCAACACCACGACAAGGACAACATCCATGTAATTTTAATAATAATTATATAAAGATATGTTTGTGTATTACAGGTTCTTAATCTTAACAATTGCCGCATAAAATCTCTACCAGAGCGCCTTTTCACGAGATTACCGAACTTGAAAAAACTTGATCTTAGTGAAAATTACGTCATCACATTAAATTTAGATGTGCTACGACCGCTGCGGAAGTTAGATAGGATAGAGTTGAGAAATGACTATTTGCAATGCAATCCTGACTTCATAGCTGTTGAAACGTGGATTTTATCGCATAATATAAAATACAACAAAATATGTCATAAAAAATTACCAAAAATGTCCGAAAAGATGATTTCGTTGGTCGTCGAACAAGATCCTGTGGATATTAAGACAGTGTGGAACGTGACTGTTAAAAATAATACTCTGGCAAAAGTAAAGACAAATAAGACTGAACCTTTGACGCCTTTTCAAAAATTCGATAAAGAATTTTCAGCTATCCAAGCTTTAGTGATAGGTTTTGAAGTGGGTCTAGCGCTCGGTATCGTTGGCACTTATATATGGTTGACGAGAATTTGCAGCTGTAGTGCACTTTTTAGTAGACAACGGCAAACAAACAGACGGCGACGCCGAAGAATAGAAGGTGATATGCGAGCCAACTTGTTATGGAATAATGGTGTGAATCCAAACTTAGAGACGCCACCATTTTATCGAAGACAAATATCTTTGCCAGACCGTAGTCCACCTTTCCCGGGCAGTGGGATAGCAGGTTTACATGTTGATGCTATACGTATAGATAGAGCTGAGACTCCGCCCCCTCCTTATAATGAATGCCGTCTAAATGTATAAAAATTTGGATATTTTAAGAAGTCAGACTAAAAGTATAAGATAGTCCGCGACAAAACAAGTTCTATCTACCTGTTAATTGAAATCATTTTTTTAAGGATGAAATGTTAATTTTTAACCGATTTTCAAAAAGGAGCAGGTTCTATGTTTGTCTGTATGTATTTTACATTATTTTTAATACGTTGAGTATGTAGTATGTACAATACACAAAATTTATACAGTGAGATTTTACATGTTTTTGTTTGTGAATATTACATAGGTACGTTGTTTTTTTACGTAATCAGTGGTGGTAGCGAGGAAATAATAGTAGAAATAGTTAATTATAAATTATAATACTGATCCAAACCTCAACCTCTGTACGCTACATCTGTCTTATACTTTTAGTCTGAAAATAATAATAATTAGCATAAGAAATTAAAAATAAAATGAATAAAAAATCATTTTACTGAAAATAGTACTAAAATTATATTGTAATTTTCTGTGTTTAATAATTAATATATAATTAATAATTGTGATTTATTAGGTATTATATTATTATGACATACATACCTAAAATTCTAATTTTTAAGATACTCATACCGAATTATTTTTTTAACACAACATTTTAATAATGTGGTGTCATGATGTTTCACCAGGACCAAAGAAAAAATAATTTAAATAAATGTTATTAGATGGCGTTGGCCATGTCGTTTAAGTTTGCGTAAAATCAACCAAAATTAAAAAGAAATCCCTATGAGAAATACTATCTTGAAAGAAAACGAAATAAAGCGCTAGTAAATAAAATTTGCATAATTTTACTGTTTAATGATATATCAGCAATGAGGTAATGCGTTCGTAGTGCATATCCACAGATGGCGCTGTTTACTTATAAGAATTGCTTATCATGGTTAAATAAGTGTATCATACATTTGTTTTATGAGTCCAGGATAAATTAATTATGTAATTTTTATCATATTTTTATTTTCACAAATTAATAAGATAAAATAGTTCGATAATTTGTGGATTAACATCTATTATCTAATCAAGCAAATAAAAATAGCCCGAATTAGCGCTGTTCAATTTCTTTGTATGGGATGGGGCATCTGTACTAGTATTCTATATAGTATAGTATTCTGTATCTGTAATAATATGTCGTCTGTGGTTATATAAATGTATCATATAAGAGTAAATAAATTTTAAGTTTGAACTATAGTTCAAACTTTACTCCTATTTATTGTTAATTTTTGATTTAATCGAAAACTTCTATATTATTTTAATATTATTATATAGGTACTTACAAAAAAATTATTTCCTCTTGTATTGAATAATACAATAATGAAATATTTATAGCTGATAGTTTACTATTTCTATAAAACGATAAAAATTACTTTTATAAGCAATTTAAAATTGTAATTATTATTAAACATTTTGTAATAAAAATAAAACACATAGTACAGAAGCAAACATGGAATATTTTATTCACTTCATAAATACCATTATCACATTCGCATAAAATAAAAATCTACATTACGTTATATTAATATAAAAATTTACGTTTAGTCAGACTCGTATATAGAATTTAATATAAATTCTTTCTAAAATAAAGATGATTTGGGTAACATATAATTTTGTACACGAAACACAACCTCATGGCAATAACTGCATCAAAATACTTTATGGCATTTTCATGGCATTTTAAAATCACCATCGTAGGTTAACAATAATATACTTAAATAATCAAATATGGTTATAATATGAAATACAATATATTACAATTTAATTGATTTAAATATATTTACTTATTGTATATACGAAATGTAAAAAGGAATGTACAGATTGTAGCAAAAATTGGTTTGAATTGAAATATAAAAATATATTAATTTAGTATTTAATTCTAGAGGAACTTAAAAGGTAAGACAAAATATTTCCAAGCTATTATAGTACAGCAAAAATACAATGTAAATTACTATTACGTTATATAATTAAACCAGTAGTGGATTTAGGTTAAATGGCGGCCTAGGCCCAAGTCGATATGGCGCCGTAGTATATTTCTTTCGTAACACTATATATAGATTAATTATTTTAACAAAGAAATTATACCCTTGAAATGGTACTATGTTTTGATTGTAAATTGTTCATCGCGGACCAAAATCGTGACACGAGAATTTTATATATTAAGATATTAAAAAAAGTCGTTGTATCATTATAATAATACGCCTTCGAAATTACTAAAAGGAAAATAATTTGACCATATCTCCCTTACATATTAAGCGTTACATAAATCTACGTATCGGTTGAAGGTTTCTAAATTTTATATAATTCATGAACTCATACTGTATTACATTTACAAATATTTTCTGCAAAATAATCGAACCTAATATCATCGGTGAGTAAATAGAGAAATCTACTGCAAATTTGCGAACGTATTGTATCATGTAGCATATAGTGTTAAATATAAGAAATACTATGGTGATATGAATAACGCCATAGCTGATATTATTTATTTTAAAAAAATCCGTATTTAATAAACCCTAAATATTTGCTTATAAAAAATATTATTAATAATTTTAACTTATCCGGTAAAAATGACCGTATCTCGAATTTTAAGAAATGCGATAGAGTAAATATAATAAAAATGCAACAGATCTTGATTTTGTTTTCATTTTCTATCGTAGATAAAAACTTTTCTTTAATACAAATTGAATGAAATTTTATCGTTGTATATTCTTCCTAAATTAAAAATTTATTTAAAAATCTTATTACTAATTTTGTACATAAATACGTCAAATATATTCTATGGTTCAGGCACATCATGGCATGTTTTGTATTATTTCATTTATGACGCATACAAAAAATAAAATATTTTATACTTCCATTTTATAGAATTCCATAATAAAAGAATATTTTTGTTATATAACCATTAAATAAAATCATATTTATAAAATAATTTGTACAGTGAATAGTAAATATAAAAAAAATACATTTCATACTTTTATATAAAATATTGAAAAGAAATTACGATAATAAAATTAACTGGCTCCATTATTAAATAAAAAAAACTTAAACTATGTCATTTTGTCATGAAAAAATATCTTTCTATTAATAATATTGCATTCACATTTCGTGTAAGTGAAGGTATATTACGTTTTCATAAGATCACAATATGACTTAACATCTTAGATACTGTCAGAGATTTCTGTATATATATGATATATGTAAAAAGTTTTCCAAACTTCCATATATAATAATCACGAATTCGATTCTCGTCTTAGGCAAATTTACCAATTGTATCACAATGTTTTTCTGTTCATTTGTGCGGTCAATATTGTTACTTCTTTGTTTATTTGTCAATTCTTTAACAATTCATATACAGAAATCTTTTACTTGTATATTTTATATTAATCTTAAGGTCTATACGGCTAGCTGGCTGTCTTCAGTATCTACGGCTAGCTGGCTTATATTAACATAGTCGGGGTGTTGAGAGAAAAAGTCCACAAGTTCACTGAAACTGGGCCTCTGGTTGGGGCTATAGTCCCAACAGTCCAACATCAATTGGTAAATCTCGTCCGGACAGTCTTCTGGTCTTTCTAGTCTTTGACCACTTTCTACTATTTGTATTGCCTGTAAATAGAAATTAATATTACAATTATTATATTTTATTGTGACATTGACATACATAATAAAAAGAAAAGGAATTATTTTTTCATCTAATTATTCTTACTAAAATTATAGATGCCATTTTTTGTACATTTTCCATGTTTTATGCCTTTTTATTTATTCCACACTAATATTATAAAAGTTTGTGAGGATGGATGGATGAATGATGTTAATCTTTCGCGCCACAACTGCTGAACGGGTCTGGATGAAATTTGGCACAGAGATAGATTATAGTCTGGAATAGCACATAGGAAATTTAAAATATTTTTTTACCATACAAAGAGTTTTAAATAGAGAACTATTGACTTTTACACTAAGTATTTATTGGTCGTTTGATCAAATGAGCACTAAAGACTATATGAGAACCTCTTCCAGTGCGTGACGGTGTAGCTCCACACGTCACAATCGGTTCATAATTCAAAAACCCAAATCAGACCTATTTACCCGACTGCGCTAGAAGGCGGGAGAAGGAGGGTTGTTTTTCGAGTGTATGCATGTATGTTTCTTTAGCGCACTCTATAGCTTGTTAGTAAATGGATGTTAAATTTATCTTAATTGTGAGAGCGACACTGGGTATATCAAAATTATAAAAATTAAAATAGCCGACTTTTGGTGCCATATTAAATGTTTTGAAATGTTATATTTTTCTTTAAAACCTATCGACTGGTGTATTAAAATAAATAGTTTTATAAATGGCTCACAAAAATATATACAACTTATATATTTAAATGTAATTTAGAATGAGAAATATTAAAAAACAAATTAAAAAAAAATATTTACAAAAATACAAAACCCGACCGCGTAAAAACGAACAAAAACGATAAAAAAAAACAAAGGAACATAGTATTACATAGTTGGAGACACATACGCAGCTATTATATAACATGTACATATGCGTGTGTTCCTTCGTCAACCTGTTTTCATCTTTTTAGTTCGCTTTTTACGTAGTCGGGTGTTTTTATTTTTGTAAATATATTTTTTCTAAAGCAGGTTAAACATATCTATACCTCAATCCCCCTCATATCCCCATACGGTTGTTTACCGTAGGAGAACATCTCCCATAGCGTGACGCCGTAGCTCCACACGTCGCTCTTGTGGCTGAAGGTGCCGTAGTTGTATGCCTCGGGCGCGTACCACTTGATGGGCCACTTGCCGCCGTGGCTCGCCTTGTAGTACGAGCTGTCAGTGGACAGCGCTCGGGACAGCCCGAAGTCGCTGATCTTTGCTTGGTGCCTGGATATCATATTATTTATTGTGGTATAAGTACAGTACTAAAGATCTATGGTGCTGATTTTTATTTTTTCATTTTATTTTATACTAGCGGCTCGAAAACAAATCTATCCCACGGGAACCTTACATTTTTCCAGGATAAAAAGTAGGTTATGTGTTATTCCAGACTATAATCTATCTCTGTGCCAAATGTCATCCAGATCCGTTCAGCCGTTCTGACGTGAAAGAGTAACAAACATCCATACATACCCACAAACTTTCACATTTATAATATTTAAAAAAAAAACAATAAATTAAAAATAAAAATATTTTTGCTTTCACACACAAGTGGCGCCATCTACAAATCAAATTATACTTTATTCAAATAGACTTTTATAAGCGCTTTTGAAGCGTTAATTTTACATTTTAAATTTAAATTTAATGTCAGTGTAGTCAGTCCGCGAGGAATTTACCACCGGCTAGGAATGCAGTTCAGCTGAGAAGAACCGGCGATAAACTCAACAGTTACTCTTTTAAAATAATAATTGTGTACAATATTCTAATACGTTACACTTCCCATGAAATCTGTCATTAAAATCAAAACAATATGTAGACTGTAGAGTAGACGTAACATACTTGCTGGCGAGTAGTATATTCCTCGCGGCGAGGTCCCTGTGCACGAAGCGCCGGCGCTCCAGGTAGCGCATGCCGGCTGCCACCTGCCACGCCCACAGCCGCAGCTCGTAGCCGGGCGCTGCGCCCCCGACACCGCCCCGCACCAGGTACTCCAGCAGCGAGCCCAGCGGCACCAGCTCCTGGACCATCGCCAGTGGCGGACCCTGTGATTCATTTATTATATTATTTCTTATCTGTATAAAACTGATAATATTTTTTTATCTGTATAGAACTTTGAATAAAAACAAGATACAATATTTTTCTATCTTATCTAATATGTTTAAATATAAACATTGATGAAATAGTAAATGTAGTTTTCTCTAAATCAATATATACTAATTTGTTTTGTTCTTGTTAATTGTGCCCGCTTGAGACATTTGGAATATTTTATAAAACTCATTACTTTCATTAAAAAGTAAAATAAAATCTATTCTACACACTTAATTATTCCTAAAAATTTCAACAGAGAGCTTTTAACCAACCAACTTACCAGAGACACTCCAATCAGCCGCACAATACATTTATGTCGCAGAGACATCATAACTTTGGCCTCTGACAAGAACTCCATTTTGTTCGTATCAGTGTGCTGCATGTGTAGAGTCTTCACTGCAACGGGTATGGGGGTCGAGTCCAGGGGCGAGTACACCGCACGGAGCACTGAGCCAAACTCGCCTTCACCCAGTACTGCTCCTAATGTCAGCTCGTTGAATGGTATGAAGTCTAAAATTAATAAAAAAATAAATTCAGAATCCAATAAAATTCAGAAGTTTAGATTATAAAGTTTCATTTAGCCATCGTATTGTAAATAATTAAAATCGACAATAATACACAAAATGTGTATTAATAACTTAAAATAGGAGGCCTGAATGTGATTCATGGTCTGTGTAGTGCCATTAGCATTCAACGTAAAAGTAACATGTTTTATAAACAAAATGTTAACTTAATTTAAGTTCTCTGAACATCGTGAACTGATACTGTATAGATATATATGTATTTAAAGTTCAAACAACTTCAATGATTTTATAGTATTTCGCACTTTTTAACGTCCCACTGCTGGGCATGGACTTCCCTTCAATACCAGGGGGATCAGGCCATAGTCCAACACGCTGGCCAAGTGCGGGTGGCGGCTTTTTTGTATTACAGATGAATAATTTACAATTTGCTATTCTTTATACATATTTACCCCCTCACCTTGTAGTATATACGACTGGCCCTCCGAGCTTAGAGATATTTCATTGTAGTTCTCAGCCAATGAGACCACCGCACTATTGTTCACTGGCACTTTGTATGTGTCATTGTCTTGACCATCGTCATTATTATTTAAACTATCACTATTGAAGTCAGAGGAAAATGAAAGATTTCTTGTGAGAAGTTCGAAGGCGTTGTTGTTTACCGATGTTTGTTTATCATTCAATATGTCGTGTTTAACTAATGATAAGGATTGGTTCAGAACTCGGCTCGGTGAAGATTTCTTCGTACGAGGCATAGTTGAAAACTGAAACACAAAAATTCTTAATAAAATCTTGTTACTATAAAATAAATTAATTTAGAAAATCACGCTATGTTTTTTAAATTAATTTCGATATACATAAAGTGGAGCAAAAACAAAAAAACAAATACAGCCATACCATGCTTTTCTCGAATCAATTTAGGACATTTTCGACCCACCCGTGTAACATTGTTGTGGATAAAGCTAGAGGCCTAAATTATCTATGACGAATAGGGCATAATATAACTAGGTATATTTCCAAATTACAATCAATTTGAACATTATATAGTTATATATTGTTTAACAACTATTGCATGTTCCTTAATTTTGTCACAGCCACACTCACCACAAAATTTTAAGATAAGCAGACACACAAGCTTCAAATTTGCTTTTCTACAATTTATTCTATCATCCGCAACAATCTATTATGTCACATAATTTTTAAATGTAGTGAATAAAAAAAAATCTATTCTAATGCACCTCAGGCAACGGGGGCTTGGGCTTGGGCGCGACGGGCGCGGTGAGGCGCGTGGGCAGGCCGTCGGGCACGCTGCTGTAGTGCTCTATCAGTCGCTCCAACGACTCCAAGTATGGACCATCGTCTATAAACAGCCATTCGTTCTGTGAAAATTAAATAACATGTGTTCGCACCGAATACTTGTTGTTAAAGCGTTTACCGGAACGTGTGGGTGAAAGAGGCCGTTGAATGAAGCCTGTGAGAAGTAATTCGAATAGCAACGCTCTCGCTAATGAACGCTAAGAATCTTAAGGCTGTAAAGATTATTGTTTGCACTATATCTTGTATAATTGTACTAATGAACAAGTAAAAATAAACCAATATTTCAACACTTGTCTAAACGTTTATGTAAAATAATGTTTCAATGTTATTTCTTATATTATTTAAATAACTGTATTAGAAAACAAAAACAAAATCGAGTAGGTTTAGCTAATAATAATTACAATTCAAAAATAATTGTCATACATAGCTGAAACTGCATGTTTTGTTAGTATTTGAATTTGACAGTGGAGTTAAGTGAAAATTGAATCTATTCAGCCATATTCATAGAATGAATTCCTATACAGACATAAACAAGAAAAAAAATAAAAATGTTATTTTTGTCTGTCTGTTCCGGCTAATCTTCGAAACGGTGGGATAGTTTTATTTTAGAAAAGTTAGGGTTCCACGCCAAAAAATTAAAACCCATGAAATTGAGAACAAAATCACCACTCACACTCACTCACACAACACTCGGGTAAAGCGAAAATAAGCCACTAGTATTCAATAAAATCCGTTAAGCAGTTATCCGTTAAACTAAGACAATCACTCACAAACTTTAGCGTTTACAAATATGTATTAGCGAAATATAATTTTACATTACCTCTTTCCTAATAATAAAATTGTAGGGGATGTTCTCACTGAGCATAGTGAGCACGTACGCGCCGGTGTTGCGCTCGCTGTAGCGCACGAGGAACACGCCGTCGGAGGTCTTGTCTTGCAGATTGTGAATCTTACAATATTCTTCTAACATTTTGATGGCTTCCTCACGGTTCAGAGTACCATGGTACCATTGGCTTTTTGATGTGTTTGGTGGATCGGGCTTGTGGTTTTCTGTAAGATATGAATGTTATAAAATATTTGATAAATTTTTCTTTGTTTATTATTATCAATAACTGATAACGATTAATGCTAATACAACTTCAAAACTGATTGTATAATATGTAACTAGCGATTCAATATCAATCTACTTGGTGTCGTCCCTAGATACCAAATTAAAGTATGTAAAAAAATACTTTTCATTCAAATTCGTCCTTCCGTTACTCGTTACAGCGTGAAGGAGTCAGACTTGCGCTGCAAGGGTTTCATACCATCACACAATATAATATTACGTGTATAGTATTTTACAATCATCCACCGCGAGTTCAAATTCATGTAACATTTATTCTTTTATTTTTAAATAAATCAACGACTTCTAAAGCACCATAATTTCAATTATTATAGTGAAAAGATACAGTAGAAAATCCTTAAACATAAATAAATACTAATTTTCCAAATAATTTAATTATGTTGTAACACTATCGAATAATGACTTACTCAGTAATAGGTAGCATTCCGTGTGACCGTTGTGCTTGGCTAATTGAGCGGGCGTGTCGTACGCTAGCGTCCTAGGGTGAGCGGGGGCTTTTAGTTTCAACAGTACCTGTAAATTTTATTTCATATAGATAAAAAATAAAGAAAAATCTTCTTCTTCTCCCTGCCCATTTCCCAATTACTTGGGGTCGGCGCAGTACATCTTCTGTACTGCTGATAGGATTTGGCAAACGTTTTACAACCGGCTGCCTGCCTGACGTCAACCCTCCTTGGGAATGCAATTGTTTCTCTTTGTCTGAATGGTGTCGCGGAAGTCTTGTAATATTATTATGCATTTTCGATTTTTTTGTCTTTTAAGACATTTTTTATACTATTACTTAAATTTTTAATGTTATTTTCGAATATATTTTAAAATAAATGTTCATTACACAATAAATTTTGTTTTGACGTCAATTTTTTTCTAAAAAATAATAGGTTAATATTATTGATATGCCAAAACTCTAGGTACACAATTTCGAAATTATGAGCTTTTTCTAATCTGTTTTGTTCATAGCTTTTCGGATGACAAAATAAAGAAGAGTTCTTTTAATCTGAGTAAGGTTTGACTTATTTTTTTTTAATAATCTTTTAATTATTTTATAATGTCAAGTCAATAAATAATGTGAAGTTTTTTCTTCGATTATTATCGTAATAAAGCATTAATTTTCTACATACCTTAATACATTCTATATGTCCTCTCTGCGCTGCTTCGTGGAGAGGCACCTTGCCGGAGGGCGCGTGCCGCATCTGATAGTTCGCTTTGCCTTTCGTTATGAGCAACTCTGTCGTACTCGGCAAGTTGTTTTGGCACGTGTACTGGGAAATATACAAATAAAATAATTAATCTTTCATAATTTGTTATATATTTTTAAAAGATATATATTATGTAAGATGTCACCAGTTTAAATATGCGATTTTTATTAACTAGCGACTCACCCTTGCTTCGCTCGGGTTCGTTCCTAGGTTGATTCCCCATACATACTTTCATCCCCATTTTCACCCCCTTAAGGGATAATTTCCGGAATAAAAAAGTATCCCAGGGTATCAAACTATCTTCTTACCAAATTTTATCTAAATCGGTTCAGTAGATCCAGAGATTACCCCCTACAACGTCACAAACTCACAATTCATAAACTTTACCTCTATATAATATTTTATATTAGTATAGATACATAATGTTGATTATTGTTATTTTTTTGCGACTGTACTGCGACTGTCTGATGTGAGACTATAACATTAAGTTTACTAAAATCTATGTACATTTCTTTGTATGCGCTTTTTTAGAATGCTGACCTCATTTTCCAACTAGATCTACAACTAAAACTTAGAACTTTTGCCGCATTAGGATATTCGCGTGAAAGTGACAGATAAAAGATAAAAAGGGCCTTCTGCTTAGAGGATTCTGATTTACATCTCTAAAATATTTATATTTATTTATTTATAAAATACGTGTAAGATATGTTGTCAAACATACATGTAAGGGCGTGTGTCCAAAGGAATCCCGTACGTTGACGGTTGCGCCGCTCTCTATGAGCTTGGCCAGGATGTTGTCGCGGCCGGCCCTGGCGGCGATGTGTACTGCAGTTTGTCCGTCTTGGTTCTTGGCGTCGCGGCTGCGGTAGCCGCCGTCTAGCATTTTGGATACTATGTTGTAATCACCAGCTTCCGTGGCCCTGATGAGAGAATAAATAATGTTGACTTAAAAGATCTAATTACATATTTCAAACAACAAAGATTTAATTACATATTTCAAAACATTCACTCGGGTGTCTCTAGATCTGTTCTAATTTTTGTGAACGGAATCCTCATTTTCCTAAAACAAAAGTAGCGTAAGTTATCCCTTGTAAGATCTCTACTTGCCAGTGAAAGTCGTCAGGCCGTTTCGGACATTAGCCGGAATAAACAGACAGTCAAAAAAATAATAATAAAAAATTGTGTTTTTCTAACAAGTACCGTATATAATTTATTACGAATTTAGTAAAAAGCTTTTATTTCGACATGATAAAGATACACTTCAATTATATTATATATTATACTTTTGCTTCTTCTTTCTTTTGATTGCTTCCACATACAAACTTTCATCCCTTTAAGGGATGATTTCCAGGATTATAAGTCTAACCTAAGTCCTTCCCAGGTTCTCAAACTATCTTCTTACCAAATTTTATCTAAATTGGTACAGTAGATCCAGAGATTACCCCCTACAACGTCACAAACTCACAAACTTTACCTCTTTATAGTATTAGTATAGAATATAGGTAATAATTACATTATAAACAGTACTGATAAAGAAACAACTAAATTAGTAAAAAAATGCTTCTATATATTTTTTGAGTGTATGTCTAAATATCTAAAAGGATTATTCCTAGTGTTATAAAGAAAACTAGCAGAAGTAGGGTATTATGTATGTATTACTAAATTTTTTAGTCTATCTATGTATTGTACTAAGTAAATTTCATCTAAATCCGCCATTTCTGCGTGAAGGAGTATCAAACATACAAACTTTCGCATATATATTAGTAGGCCGATTAGATATTTTATTGTAATACTTATTTATTTTTGTAAGTTGAATTCTCTTACAAAGGTTTTGTTTAGCAACTTATGTGTGAAGTGTCAATTTCGGATTAGAAATATTTTTTTTATCTAAACCCCAAAATATCTTCGAGTTAAATATTTAATGTAAATTCGTCCAGTAAGATTTTCAGCATATCAAGAGTAACAAAGATATTTTGAAAATCTGTCATATTATAACCTTTCAAAATCTTAAATTTAATTTAATTATATAATACCTTTTTAAACCAATCAGATAAAATATAATTAAAATTAAATAAGAAATAATCAGATATAGTTTTAATGATGTAAAATCCCAACAGAAATTCACATGTAACAACGATTGTGTATAAAATATGAATTAATTCTCAGAGAATAAATTAGATATGTGTACTTATATGTTACTCATATCTTGGGAATGTTCGTATTACAATTTCGTAGCAACAATTGGAGATACATCTGTTACTGTTTGACAGTGACTCATTTATGTTTATGTTAATGATTCATTAATTACATTAGCATTTGTTGACGCTGTATTTGCACTTAGATTAATATCTGGATGTTAAGCACGACTTTTATGACCGTCCGCCGCTTTTAAGATTCAAGGTTAAACTTTAATATTATTTACATGTGCTTATTCTCAATTGTATATTCGTCTGGTCGACTGCTAGCTAAATCTTATTTATCACTCATTGACCGAAAATGGTAGAGTCGTTTCAAGATGCTTATTAAGCGTCCTTAATTGAAATAGTTATATTAATTTAAACAAGTCATAAACCAATGTATATACAATTAATTAAAGTATATAAAATCGTTATTATATATTTTTACTAATTGTGTATACATGGAGATATGTAATCTTACAATGCAGGTTTTTTTAATTAAAAATATACCTCTATACATACATATGTATAATAAAATTGTAACTAAGTCGAATCTGTACATAAAATATGTTTTGGAAAATTTATTATCGATACAGAGTCCGAATCTATAGTTTTTAGAATTTTTGTCTGTCTGTCTGTCTGTTACCGCATCACGAGAAAACCACTGGACAGATTTTGATGAAATTTGGTATGATGATAGCTGGTTATCCGGGTCAACATATAGGATACTTTTTACCGCGGAAAAATATCTCAATTCTGAGAAAAAATACAAACACTGCACTGTAAGAGTATACTAATATGTAAAACCTAAGAATTTAGTTTTTGGTCATCTGAACGCGGGCGGAGCCGCGGGCAATGCTAGTTTTTATAATAAAATTATCAGTTGTTGAAGTTCAATTAATGAACCAGTCATTGTCATTCTCGAAACATATTGCATGAAGATATTGGCTGCGGCAGCAGGAAATTATCAATAAACATGTCACTGTTTACTGTCCATCACCTACAGAATACAACACGAGAAAAACACCAAAGGCCAATAGCCTGTTACAATGCCAATTTCATTTTGCTCCTCTATTCTTTTTTTTATGTCTTGTGCCATTGAACTGATTGCAATAAAACTAAAAAAATATGTCTTTTTTTATAAGAAGTTATTTATTCAAGAAATATTGATATATACTGTACTTCTGAAATGTGATGGAGATAATATCTTTTTTTTAATTTTCATCAATCTATTCACATAAATGTTAGATGTTTAAGACCCCATTTTATCTGTCTATTCATAAAGCAATAAAACAACAAAGAAAAATTAAGGACAATTTGTGTCGCCCACTTCTTAATAGGACTTCCTCCTTCAACTGTTATTGTTATTGACAATCACACTAAACAATTTCATACTTACTTGTATGGAATGTTAAACTACAAATATAAATAGCTATTTGGATAAAAAAATGAATAATTATTATTAAAAAATGTGTTATTGTTGAAGAAAAGATTATATATAGACATTTTCATAGGATTCCTTAAATCTTTACAACTTTTGCTTTTGTTTCTGCCATATCTTAATTCTATCCCAACTTTACTAGTTTATAATAAAATTTAGTTTACAAAAGAAAAACACAGATTCAAAAAGAGAAAAAATAAATTCACCTGACCTTAATTTGTAAATAATGGTACAAATGTATTAATATTTCATAGAGATAGATATTTCAAACATCAATTTTTACACTTTCAAATGACAGAAGCAAGAAAAAGTTGAAAAATCATTGTTTGGAAGATGAACCCTTTATTCACAACTTTAGAAAAAAAAAATCTAATATTTTCCTCAATAAAATTGTCTTGGTAGGTGTATGATTTTTTTTTTATAAAATGGTAATTTGATTTTTAATATTTTACAAGTTCAGTCCTAATTATTATTATATTACTAATAGTGCACTTCTAAATAATTTTCTTGAAAGCAGAAGCCTTCTTGACAGCAGAAGAGAGAAAATGTAGAACCAAAATAAACAACTATGTGACAATCTATAAGAAGTGATTTAGTTTTATCAATAGCTAATGCAATTGTTGTTTTTGTAATCAAATTACAAACAATGAGTGATAGAATTATAAGTGAGTCACTATTGTATAATATGTTGTATTGTTTAATTGGTAAATAGAATTACCAAACACAATCAAAAGAAGTATTTCACTAATCACAACATTTTATAAAACAAAGCCATCCGCCGCGCCTGTCGTGATAAACTCAAAAACTACTGCACCGATTTTCATGCTCTTTTCAGCAATGGATAGAGTGGTTCTCGAGGAAGGTTTTGGTATACAATTTTTTAAGTTTTTGTATACATTGGCTAAAATATATCAGATTTGTTAGAGGTGTCGGAAAAAAATAAGCCATCTGGAAGCTTTCAACGAAAACGCTGCCTAAACACTCATATATAACAAAATAATGTACGGTGGAATTTTAAATAAAACTACCTTTTCGGAAAAAATCCAAAAAGATAGTTTTATTTAAAATGTCAAATATTTCTGTAAGTCTAAGAAAGTATTATGGTCGAATTGTGTATCTTGTTTACAGAAAAGTCTGCGATAGCATATGTCTATCTCTTAAGGATAAAATACTATATCCATTTTAATTTAAAACATAGCTATGGACTAACCCGAGCGAAGCGAGTGTGAGTTGCTAGTATGAAACTTATTTAATATTGAAACCAATACCTTAGTATTGGTTTCAATATTAGGGGTGCAGCACTCTCTGATGATGAGCTACACTAATGCTTTCTCCATGTATACAAACATTTCCATGTGTCAAAATTTTAAGTCATTGGTTAAGAACTTTCAGCAATTAGTGGCTTTTCACAAACAAACATTTAATTTTTTATTTATAGGCTTAGGTGTCTCAAATTTTTTAAGGTACATACCTGTGTAAAAGATTAGTAGTGCCTTGAGTCCTGGACTCATGTGGTGGTGGATTTCCCTTACATACCACCGAGAGTCTTGTAACAAGGCCATTTGAGTCCCCTCGATAATGCTGAATTAATGTGTCCAAGCCATGCACTGTAGTATGTTCCTCAATAGAAAAGAATGCATCTTCACCATGTCGTCTAATTTGGTAATGAACTACCTCCCCCTGAAAAACATATTGAATGTTAAAAATATATTGTTACAATACTGAAGCTTATATATATTTCCTTCAATTCTTGCGTGTTTTTAAACTATAAATAATAAAATAAGGATAAAATGTTCCTGAGAATAACAAAGTTTGTTTATTTACTCTTCACAATAAAACTATCTCGGTCTAGTATAAGTGGATTGCAAGTTTATTATGCCTTAGAAGATACTGTAAGTTTACTTTAAATTAATATAATTATATTTATTAAAGTGCAATATTATTATCAATACAGTAAATAGAAAAAGCACAATTATTTTTAGATACACAAAATAACAAACAAAAAATTAATATAAACCTGATGTAATACGGAGAGAACATAGTCTCCAGGTGAAGAATTACTCTCACGAACCAAGAAAACACCATCTTCGCCATCTGAAATATGAAACAAGAATTGTAATCAAAGATTTCTAAGCAATATGATTTTTTTTTCAATGGCCACAATAACCTACCTTCTTTCAAAAGTTTCTCCGCTGTTTCTCGAGATATTTTCCCATGAAACCAGTTTAAGTTATCCTCTGTATTCATCCTCAATAAAAAAGAGTTTGTCTGAAAAGTTGAAACTTGTTCAACAAGTGTCACTACTCACATAACACCACTACAGATGATCCAAATTCTCTTATTCTTTACTAATGAATGTCATCACAATATTCTATAATTTAAATTTTGCATTTTAGTTCTCAATAAATAGATTTTTATTAAACACTCAAATTTAAAGCTTATGCTCAAAATGTAAATACATGATTACCAAATTACGAACTTTTGTCGGAGAGATCAACAACTCTTTGTCTTTTATTTCTTTCTAACCTACGGTATTGAATAGCATAAATGTTATAAATTCTAGTTCATCTTCACCATCTCTTTCGAAGATATCTGGTTTAAAACGAGTTAAAAAGAGATAGAACATTGTTGCATTACATTGACACTTATTTGTATAGCAGAAATGTAAACGTCAAACGTCAAGTATCTAGTTTGGTCAAATAAGAAACTAATTATTTTTTTTTATGAATTAATCATCAAATTTGAGTGGCATTGTTTGCGAAATATTTTAATAACAAAATAAATTTTATTAAGTATAATAAAGTCTTACCTTCAATAATATGAATGACGTCATGGTTGTTATCATGATATCCAACTTTGGAAACTCACAAAAATATTTACAAATATTCAAGTATATGAAATATGAACTATTTACTGTTTCTACATTTTTTTAAGACACACATTTCTATAAATAACTAAGATAAGGGTTTACACTAAATAATTTATCCATAAAAGCGTTCACAGTGTACGGAGAGCGTCTAGAAAGCAACCGGCAGACAGGCGCGGTATCCCCGACTCTGCCTTCCAGCGAATGACTCATAGCAAGGTCAATTCCGAGAAATGAATCACCAGCCAGCGTACTCAGTTCAGCAATGCCATAAGTAGTACACATTCCCTCACAACACAACATCGGTATTATTATTGTATATGGTAAATAGAGCCAGATATGTGGAATCAACTTTGTAAATATTTTTTTATTTCATTATCATAAATATTGTTCTCATATCATTAATACAGTTAAGAAATTATCTATAATGTAATATGGAAAAAATGACGCATATAATTATAATGTCTACTTAATCACGTACATTCAGGTTTACTTGACATTTTTTACTATAATTATTTACCATAAAATAATTAATAATCAAATTAATTACCTACTTTACATTGAAATTGAGAATTAACAAATTAATTACCTTTTTTTTTTAAATCTGAAACTTTCCGATTTGAACGATAACTAATTTTTTAAGTTTACTTCGGTATAATATTAACAGTGAACTTGACACAATATTCTTATAAGAATGAATAGGTAGGATAAATAAAGTTTTTAAATTTGACTTGAGTTCTACATAGGTACAGCAAAACCATGCTAGCTAGCCTAAAATACCTTTCAATGTCAAATTCTATGCAATTATAATTATAACTATGTATAACTTAGGTAGTTATACACTTTGACCAAATGGTTTGCAGGTATAAAATGCAGGTGCAGATAAAATTAACCAGTAACTGGTTAACCAAAGTATGGATACTAAGTTTTAAATGTGTAATATCTCATGGAACTAGAGACTTTTAAATGTAATTATTATGAATAAATTGAATTTACTTTTCTCCATCTAATATGTAATCGTAAAAAATAGTTGGTGTAAGACATAATTTATGGTGGAATGTAAAGCTATTTGCAAAAGTAACGCGCATATTGGGCATCTGCATAAAAATATATTTAAATAGAGTACACAATAAAAATTAAAAACTTTGTATTGAACATTTGTTATAATCTCACGGTCAAATATTTTATTTATATACATATGTTTGTACATAAGTATTATTTATTGGCGATTGCGAGTGTGTTATGGATTTAAAGAATAACAATAAAAGAAATAAATAGCTCCCTCACGAGGTAGTTATTTCTATTTAATACATTTAAAATAATCTGTCTAGACAAATAATACTCGTATGTTTCTATAAAATTGTTAATGTTCAGTTTTAACTCCATTATAATTTAATAATACGTATAACGTATTAACTGAAGTCAAAATGAAATTTAAGTATGGTACCAACATCAAAAAGTCAGGTAAAAAGTTAGAGATTTTTAAAATAGACTAATGGATAATATGGACAAAAATAGGTTAACATTTTCTACAGAGTAAGGATAAACCTTTAATTTAGGATAAAAAATTGCTAAATATAATTTCAAATGTCTAACTAGCCAAAACTAAAAAGCTGTAAATAAAAAATATACGTATTATAAAAATAAAACCCGACTGCATAAAAGATAGCTAAAAAGATGAAAACAAGTTGACGAAGGAATATACTACCATATTATGCAGTTGGAGACATACCTTCATACATATGTAATATAGCGGCTTACCCTCGCTTCGCTCGGGTTTGTCCCTAGGTGTTTATTTAAATTGACATAACTTTTTTATTTATGAGTCGATTGAAATGAAACAAATACTGAATGTTAAGTATATAATAGGTAACCACAATACATTAATAAAAACTGCACCCAAATCGGTTAAGTCGTTTCTAAGATTAGCGCGCATAAACGCACAGACAAACAAACAAATATTATAGAGATAATTGTTTTGGGTTATATTGAGTTAATAAAGTCCCTCTCATAATAGTTTTTCTCAAATATCTTCCAATTTCCATGTACGGACAGTAAACAATTACAATTTTATTATATGTTATTTATATCTCGCGGCAAGTATAAAACGTGTGTTTCTGACTCCATACATAATACTATATTCCTTCGTCAACTTGTTTTCGTCTTTTTAGCTAATAATTTGTATAAAATACACACTTATTAAGAAATATCTCGGTCCATATCAAAGGCTATTTATTACTCTTGTAATGAAGGCTTAGAAAGTATTAGCAATATTAATGTGTCTAGTGTAGCGCGACGAGGACAGGTTCCTGTGGTTTGTTTACCTCGCGAATGCTATGTTTATTTACTTTCGTTCGAGCTCTTGTAACCTGTCTGCATCTAGAGTCGGCATCGACTGTATACCATATATGGTTATGGATAGATAACACCAACGTAGACGAGCAGACGACATGTGGTTAAGAATTTCTCTTCTTTGTTCTTAGACTCGATGGCGAGTTTACAAACCCATATGGGGTTCTTATCGTTCTAATTTTATATCCTGGCACGTCAAGTGATTACTTGTAAAAAAAGGGCGTTAAACTTTTTGAAATATCATTTTTACTAGCAGACCCCACAGCTTCGCTCGCGCTAAAACTAGAAAAAATGTCTAAAAAGGTAGGTACCTAGGTTTCATACAAAATTTTATTCCCCTATTTTATCCCCTTATAGGATGAATTTCGAAAAATGCAAAAACACGTATTTATTTAATAGCATTGAAGATGATACTAAGTTTCAAGTAATTCTGATCAGAAATAAATTTTTTGATTGTATTATAACGTGTTTCCCGTGGGAATGAGATGATCTGCAATAAAAAGTAGCCTATATCACTCTTCAGCTCTTCAACTATCTTCACACCAAAAATTACGCCAATCCGTCACTCCGTTTCGACGTGAAAGTAAGACAAACTAACACACAAACAAACAAACACACTTTCACATTTATAATATTAATAAGGAAGTATGGATGTAACAACGTATACTACGAGTATACTTTAATTCAATTGCTTATACCACGATTACGATAATTTATGAATAGATTAACCTTTACAGTATAAGTATGATCATACTCTCTAGTAATTCCGCAAGCGTTTTATAGAGCAAGAAACTCTGGTAGCTTCTACGGCAATAAGTTGGTAGAGCAGAATCCATAAAATTAAAGTAGGCTTACCTTCTTAGCAACTTTGGCTAAGGTGTTATATTTGTTTAGATTTAGACGGACCTATATATTAATTTTATTATTATTTATTTTTTTAATTCATAAATTAAATACCTAATCTATACATATAATAAAATTGTAACTAAGCCGAATCTGTACATTAGATATTTTTTGGAAATCTTATTGAAATAAACTATTATTATTATCGATACAGAGGCCGAATCTATAGTTATTAGAATTTTTGTCTGTCTATCTGTCTGTTGTCTTTCTGTCTCTTTGTCTGTCTGTTACCGCATCACAGAAACACCACTGGAGGGATTTTGATGAAATTTGGTATGGTGATAGCTGGTTATCCGGGTCAACATATAGGATACTTTTTACCGCGGGAAAATATCTCATTTCTGAGAAAAAATATAACATAAAACTGTTATGTAAGAGTATACTAATATGTAAAACCTAAGAATTTGGTTTTTGGTCATCTGAACGCGGGCGGAGCCGCGGGCAATACTAGTATAGAATATTATTGAGGCAGCTATCAAATATCTTCGTCATTATACATTCGTTACTTCTTCTTCTTCTTCTCCCTGCCCATTTCCCAATCGCTTGGGGTCGGCGCAGTACATCCTCTGTACTGCTGAAAGGATTTGGCAAAAGTTTTACGACCGGCCGCCTGCCTGACGTCAACCCTCCTTGGGAATGCTATTGTTTATCGCGGAATATGTCTTATGATATGTCTCCTATATATATCTCTGATTATGTCTTGTAATATGATGCACATTTAGATTTTAAAACATTTTTTATACTATTAATTACGGTTTAATGGATTTTTCGTATATATTTCAAAATAAATTTTGATCACACTATAAATTTTGGTTTGACGTTGTCAAATTTTTTTCTTTTAATTATACATTCGTTACTATTATGTTATAATGATAAGAAAATTAAAAAATAATCAACAGGGTTTTTCTTTTACAATGCCCACTGACTAATCAGTTATTTTCGGAGTCGTGTACGTACGACTAACTATCAACTAGACGCGGCAAATCTAATTAGATATGAATACATCATAAATTTAGGCTTTATTTTATTTCACAAACATAGTATTTGTCTCATCAGTAGATCTATGTTTTCTTATTCTAAAATAAACTGTGACAATGAGGTAAAAAGTATTTAAAAGGTCTTAATTCAACTAAAAAAAATTTTCATATAAATTTCAATAATATAAAAGTCATAGCTATAGATTTTAATTAATAGTATATCTATATATGTTTATTGTATTGCCATTAACGAGTGACGAAATAAGAAAAAAAAGATGAGCTTTTAATCTCATAGCAATAAATTAAATTAAAAAAACATATATTCGCAACCAGAAAAATGTTTATAACCACAAATATCGCAACCATAAAGGTGGAGGTGCAACGGTGTTGTCAAGGTAGCCTGAAGCCGGCCTCTGACTCACCGCTTTCTACCAGCCAGCGGTCGATGACACCCGCCACCTAACTTCGCTACTGCCTTACGAAATGTTTGTTACTAGAACACTTGTAACTATTAAGAAACATATCCATGTTGTCAAATGCAAGTAATCTCTGTAAATGTCCGAAGACATTTATTATCTATACATATAATAAAATTGTAACAAAGTCGAATCTGTACATTAAATATTTTTTGGTAAATCTAATTGAAATAGACATTATTATCGATACAGAGTCCGAATCTATAGTTTTTAGAATTTTTGTCTGTCTATCTTTCTGTCTGTCTGTCTGTCTTTTTAC